CCTGGGTCGCTCGGGTGGTTTGCACTCAACTGCTGAGCTAAAGGTTGGTGGTTCGAACCCACCCAGCAGTGCTGTGGATGAAAGGCCTGGCAAACTGCTTCCATAAAGATTACAGCCAAGAAAACCCTGTGGAGCTCAGTTCTGCTCTGTAACACATGGGGTTGCCCTGAGTCGGAATCAGCTCTACAGCAGTGGGTTTTTTCTTTCTGTTCTCTGAATAGTGATGGGCTACATGATATGAGATGTTAGGGTTCGTGCTCAAAACAACAGCAAAACAAAAAATACCTTTTCTTCCTCCTATTGGTGCATTCCATGAAATGGCACCATTAGAAAACTGTTCCTTGGGATTTTCCTCAAGTAGTCATCTTTTTTGTTTGAATAAGTTCAACAACGTATTGGTGGATTGGTTAGATGCCTTCATTCCTAATAGGAAGTTCCAGGCTGAGAGGGCTCTGGCAGGTTGGGAGGGGAATGGAAGAAAAGAGGGTGAAGAGGTAAGACGCAGGAAAAGGGTGAGCATCTCCTGTTGAGCTAGGTCATGTCTTCCCAACTGGAAGGGCCGTGGTTGGCAGAGGTCATACAACCCCTGGCGGAACTAGGATCTAAGTCCCTTGACTCCAAAGTTGGTGCTACATGCCTGCCAGCACTCTGCTTCAGTGGTTCGCCTGTGCTGGATCCACTCACGTCAGGCCCCTGCTAGGGGACTCCCACCCTGCCTCCCACTGCTGTTCCCAGATTGCTGTAAAGCTTGGTAGAGCTCGATCTCGAGGAGATGTTGATGTTAGCAGTGCAGTGAGATTAGAATGTCACAGTCGCTCACTCCTCCGTTGCCAATACTTGGCACGGTGTAGATGTTGGGTGTTGTGTGGTTGATTCTGACTCATGGTGACCCCATGTGTCAGAGTGGAACTTTCCCGTGGGGTTTTCTCGGCTCTAATCTTTACAGAAGCAGGTCACCAGGTCTTTCTCTTGCAGAGTCGTTAGGTGGGTTCAAACTGTCAACCTTTTGGTTAGCAGCTGAGTGCTTAACCATTGCGCCACCGGGGCACCTTGCCCAGCAGGTAGCAGGTGCTGACTCAGTGTTTACTAAGCATATGAGTGTCAGAAGTGAGGCCATGTATGTGGACAAGAAGTAGAGGGCACATAGGGTCACCATTGGGCCTAGAAGAATGGCAGAACAGGAGGGTGGATGTAGGGTAGAGGCCAGTGAGGAAGGGGTGTGAGCCCAGAGGCAAGCAAGGTCTGGTATTAGCGAAGAAGGCAAACTAGCCAGGCTAGTGGAATTCCTCAGGAAATATTAGCATTGTGCACGTATAATTATCGTCCCAATCTGCCGAGGCTTGACTGGAATGTGGTTGTTATTCAGAAGGACCCTTTAAACCTGCCTGCCTGCCCACTCCCTCCTTCCTGAAAAATACAGATGCTCTCGTCTCAAGTCCTGGGTGTTTTGCAATGCTAGTGCCCCTGGATTTTTGTTCACTAATTGTCTAAATTGGCTTTTGTACATTGTTCGTGACCGTTAAATTAAAAGCTTAATCTCTCATTTAACAAGGGAGTTTACATTCTTCTCCAAAAGTAGCTGCCCTTCTCAAGTGTGGCCTTTGCTGTAGGCGGGGTTGCTGGACTGCATCACGGTCTGCTGGTTCCAACAGTCTAGTGCATGAGGAGGGGCAGTCCCGGGGCTAGGGAACCAAAAACCCAAGCGTTAACCCTTCCTGAGGCAGCCTGGCACGGGCCACAGACCACATTCCTGGTTTCGTCCATCTGGCCATGAATCATCTTTGTGACTGATCACTTAATGCTATTGTGTTGCCTGCTACTAATTAAAAATAAATATGTTGAAACATAGTATCCATAGATAAAAAGCCTACATGGTATGTGTACAGCTCGTGAATTTTCTCAAACTGAACACGCCCAGGTAACTAGAGCCGGATGAAGAAACAGAGCGTGACCCTCACCCAGAGCCCTCGTTGTGTTCCCTTGCAGCCTTGTCGTTTGGTCCGTCGAGTCGGTTCCCACGCACGGTGATTCCGTGTACAACAGAGCGAAACGCGGCCCGGTCCTGTGCCATCCTCACAGTCACTGCTGCGTTTGAGCCACCATTGCAGCCACTTTGTCAGTCCATCTTACTGAGGCTCTTCCTCTTTTTCACTGGCCCTCTGCTTTACCAAGCGTGATGTCCTTCTCCAGGGACTGGTCCCTCCTGATTACATGTCCAGAGTACGTAAGACAAAGTCTCTCCATTCTCTCTTCTAAGGAGCATTCTGGCTATACTTCTTCCAAGACAGATTTGTTCGCTCTTCTGGCAGTCCATGGTATATTCGGTGTTCTTCGCCAACACCGTATTTCAAAGGCATCAATTCTTCTTCAGTCTTCCTTATTCATTGTCCAGTTACACATGCATATGAGACGATTGAAAATACCATGGCTTGGGTCAGGTGCGCCTTAGTCTTCCAGGTGACATCTTTGCTTTTTAACACTTTAAAGAGGTCTTTTGCAGCTGATTTGTCCAATGCCATGCATCATTTGATTTTACTGCTGCTTCCATGGGTGTTGATAGTGGATCCAAGTAAAATGAAATCCTTGACAACTTCAATCTTTTGTCCATTTATCATGATGTTATTTATTGGTCCAGTTGTGAGGATTTTTGTTTTCTTTATGTTGAATCATAATCCATACAGAAAGCTCTAGTTTTTGATCTTCATCAGTAAGTGCTTCAAGTCCTCTGCTTTCAGCCAGCAAGGTTGTGCCATCTGCATAGTGCAGGTTGTTAATGAGTCTTCCTCCAATCCTGGTGCCCCTTTCTTCATGTAGTCCCGCTTCTCAGATTATTTGCTCACTATGCAGACTGAGTGAGTATGGTGAAAGGATACAACCCTGACATATACCTTTTCTGATTTCAACCTCTCAGAATCCCCTTGTTCTGTTCCAGTGACTTCCTATGGTCTATGTACAGGTTCTGCATGAGCACAATTAAGTGTTCTGGAATTCCCCTTCTTCGCAATGTTATTCATAATTTGTTATGATCCGCGCAGTCCAATGGTTTCCTTCCAGTCTTACCTGCCCCAAAAGGTGACTGGACTTCTAACACCCTACATTAGTTTCACCTGTTTTTGTTCTTCGCACAAATGGAATCATACAGTAGATGCACTTGTACCTGGCCTCTTCACTAAGCATTATGCTGGTGTAATTTGTCCATACTGTTGGGGATAGTTATAATCTATGGGAACATTGGTGGATCAGTGGTAGAATTTTCTTGCCTTCCATGCAGGAGACCCAGGTTCGATTCCCAGCCAATGTGTCTTATGCACAGCTGCCACCTCTCTGTCATTGGTGGCTTGTGTGTTGGTATGATGTTGAATAGGTTTCAGTAGAGGTTCAGGGCTAAGATGGACTAGGAAGAAAGGCTTGATGATCTACTTCTGAAAAGCTGGTGAAAACCTATGGATCACAGTGGTTCAGTCTGCAGCCAATCATGGGGATGGTGCACAGGGTCATTATGGGTCAGGGCCAACTCGATGGCAGCCGACAACAACAGTTATAGTCTACTGCTTCTCCTTGGGTTCCATGGTGCTCATTTCCAGATGGCTGTTACATATGCCCTACCTCCCTCAAAGCCATTCAGGGATATCAGGTAAAACTAAAATATTAAAAGTGCTACACAGTGTGTTTTTATAGTTTGAGAGGAAATAGGTTTAATCTGAGTGAAAATGGAGGAGGGGGTATGCATTAATTTCCTAAGGTTGCATTAAAAAACTACCACAGACTGGGTAGCTTAAAACAGCAGAAATTTATTTCTCACAGTTCTAGAGGCCAGAAATCTGAAATCAAGATGTCAGCAGGGTTGGTTCCTTCTGGAGGCTCTGAGGTAGAATCTGTTCCATGCCTCTCTTCTTGCTTCTGGTGGTTGCCAGCAATCCTTGGCGTTCCTTGGTTTGTAGACACTCACTGCATTCTCTGCCTCCATCTTGACGTCACCTTCGTCTCTTGTCCCTCTCTGTCTCTTCTTAATAAGCACAATAGTCGTGGGATTAGGTCCCACCCTAGTTCAACATGACCTCATCTTAACCTGATAACATCTGCGAAGACCCAAATAAGGTCGCATTCACAGGTAATGAGAGTTGGGATTTGAACATGTCTTTCAGGGGGACACGATTTTTTTTTAATATTTTATTTTATTTTTGGTGAAAAGGTACACAGAAAAACCTACTTCGATTCCAGTTTCTAGACATGCTGATCAGTGACATTGATCACATTCTTCACATTGTGTCAACATTGTCCTCATCTCTGTTATAGTTGTTTTGACTCGCATTAAACTCTCTGCCCCTCACCTTCTCGTCTATGCTTTAAAACAGCTGTTGACCTTTTTTTCTTATAGAGATAACTTTTTCAAAAGAATGCAATACTCAAGGGTGACAATCTTTACTCTTTGGGCTAAACTGCTACTTAGTTTAAAGGTGGCTTCAGGGGATAGTTTAAGTTCAAGGTTTGAAGAGTAACTCGGGGCCGTAGTCTCGGGGACTCCTTCAGCCTCAGAAGGTCCAATAAATTTGGAGTCTTTAAGAACTTGAAGTTCTGTTCCACATTTTTCTCTGGGGGACACAATTTAACCCACAACAGGAGGAAACCCAAGGTTATAGTCTTAGAAGTGGGGAAGAAATTGGTTCAGCTGCAAAGTTTGATGAAATGGCTCATAGGAAATGAAGAGAGGGTTACCGCTTGAGTCTCTATGTCTCTGTCGCATGCAGATGGGGTGTTTACGGTCTGTGACGTCTGCTGTCCTGTGGGCCACATGTTCAGCTTTAGTTCCTATACTTGCTTACTGGGGCCCCTGTGCTAAATGGCGGGGTTCTCTCCAGTGTCATTTGTTGTTTATGAATTCACCCAGTGTTTTCAGTATTCTCATTAAGCCCTCTGCCTTCACTGAGAGGTGATTGCTGTGCCCCAGGAGTGATTTCTGCTTTTTGTTGGAGTAAAATCTCCGTGTTTTCTCCCGTCAGGCCCTGGACGGGGATTTCTCTGAAGACAACCGCAACAAATGCCGTATTGCCACCGCGCCTTTGATCGAAGCCGTGGAGAACCTGACAGCATTCGCATCAAACCCTGAGTTTGTCAGTGTTCCCGCCCAGATCAGCTCCGAGGTAGGGAGTCTTTGCCAACAGAGGAAGACTGAGGTCTTTGGCTAGTTTTGTGTAGTACTGAATGAACAAGAGTGGTTAGAATTCCAAAGCTCTCTCCATCAATATGTAGGGTGCTGTTATTTTTGTTGCTGCTACATGCACACACAGAGTTAATGAAACTCAATCTCTGCACATCTCTTGAGAAGTAATGTCTTAGCGTTATGTGTTGAGAACAATCTCTGTGCATAGATTAGGGATGTGTAAGTCTTTCTTGGAATGTGTCGTGCTCAAGATGCTATTTAGGAGTAAACACAGATCTAAGTCCCAGCTATCCAGGCCCTGTGTAAGCCAGCCTCCACGGGTCCCTGCCCTCTGCGTCTCCTTCCAAAGGGCAGAGGTGGCAACCTGGTAAATCACAGGACCTTCCAGGACCCACTCATATCTGCACGCCCTGCCCTTCCTTAACCGTCTGCGGTTTTGTCCTAGGGCTCTCAGGCGCAGGAACCAATCCTGGTCTCGGCCAAGACCATGCTGGAAAGCTCGTCATACCTCATCCGCACTGCCCGCTCCCTGGCCATCAACCCCAAAGACCCGCCCACCTGGTCCGTGCTGGCCGGACATTCCCACACTGTGTCCGACTCCATCAAGAGTCTCATCACGTCCATCAGGTCAGTTTCCTGTGCGGAGACAGCTGCTGGCCTGCCGCTGAACAGGGCAGGTGGATGAGCACACCAGGCCTTTAACTTGGTGATAATGTTGCTGGTCATTATCCGCATCGTCTTCTTCGTCTCTCCAGTACTAGTGGTAGCTCTGGTCATGATAATAATAGCTAAGTTAAGCACTCACTGTATGCCAAATACTGTTCTAAGCATTTTACCTTATTATCCTATTTGATCATTACAACAACCTCGTAAAGCAGATACTGCCATTACTTCTTTTTGATCGATGAGAAAATTCAGGCAGAAAGGATTTAGGTAACGTTCCCAAGGTTACACTCAAGCCTGATTCTCCAGTCTCAGTCCTTCTAATCATTGTACCATACTGTTTGTACCTTGGAACTTGGAGAGCATCACTGTTCATCTGGCAAGATTTGGGATTACCTTTTCTAAGTTTAAAGGGTCCTCAAGGCCACCCTCAGGTTTCATGATTCACTAGAAGGGCTCACAGAATTCAGAAAAGCCATTATACTCATGGTTACAGTTTAGTACAGTAAAAAGATACAGATTAAAATCAGCAAAGGGAAGAGGCATATCGGGCCAGGTCCAGGAGAGACAAGGCACAGGGCTTCTAGTTCTCTCCCAGTGGAGTCATGCAGGTGGCACTTAGTTCTCCTATCAATGCAGCAACTGCTCACAGAGTATTGCCAACCAGGGAAGCTCTCCTGAGCCTTGGTGTTCAGGTTTTTATTTGGAGTTGGTCATGTCGACATGGTTGACCTTCATCTCCAGCCCCTCCAGAGTTATCTGATACCCCATAGCCCAAGGCTTCCACCATAAATCACATTGTTAGCATAGATTAACTGGTGTGGCCTAAGGCCCTCAAATAAACAAAGATACTCTTAGCAGGCAAGACATTCCAAGGTTACCTCCCAGGAGCTAGGACCAGGGCCAAACCTTTCTTTGGGCAAAGTTAATCCTTTACTGCACACCTTTTTGCAAATGAGACAAAAAGAATGTCCTAAATCCACGGTGATCTTAAAAACCAGTTACCATAGAGTCGGCTCCAACTCATGGCGACCCCATGTGTGTCAGAGTAGAACTGTACTCCATATGGTTTTAAAGGCCTGATTTTTTGGAAGTAGATCTCTTCAGAGGCAACTGTGAGTAGATTTAAATTGCCAAGCCTTCAGTTAGCAGCCGAGCTGATTACTATTTGCACCACTCAGGGACTCCCTCGTAATCTTAGGCCCCTGGCAAACATCCCTTGAGTAGATCCAGCATTTCTCAATTTGACCGAAGCTAATACCGTAAGGCATGGAATGACTCACTTTCTTTAGTTATATCTTGTCTGTCAACTGCATTTGAAGCTCAGGACCACAGTTAACTTTCTTAATGCCTTGCAAGGAAAAATCTACTAAATATTTTAATTTCTATTAGAGCCTGGGGCTTTGTGAATAGTGTATAATGTAATGAGCATGATGTATTTGCACTGAATATAGTGCTGACCTTTTTATTATAAGGGTTTTATGCTTGAGTCAGTGAATGGAGACTTCACCTTCAAAGTGTTTTATTGTGCAGTTGCTTGGCATCAGCCTGAAATGGAGGGCAGCACCATATCCTTTCTGCCAGGGATAAGCAGAGTTATCTCAAGTGTTAAATTAAGAAAGGCACGGGCTAGGCAGAGAGGCATTGCCAAGCGAGGATCAGGGATTTACTCCTTAAATAAGGTGATCGAGCAGGGCAGGTTGTGGAGTGGAGCCCCTGTTTGACTCGCGCTGTCCCTTCCAGAGACAAGGCCCCTGGGCAGAGGGAGTGCGACATCTCCATCGATGGCATCAACAGGTGCATCCGGGACATCGAGCAGGCCTCACTGGCAGCTGTCAGTCAGAGCCTGGCCACGAGGGATGACATCTCTGTGGAGGTACGCTGGGCTCCGCACTGCTCAGAAGCCTCTGGGCGTGCTGAAGAATCTCAGCATCAGGCTTCGGGGGCTGGGGGGTGCCATCGGAAGGCTTTGATGCTAGCGTTTCCTTACTGGACGAATTTCCTCTGGGGAACTACCCCGGGCAGCTCTCTCGGAGGGGCTGGGCGAATGTCTGCTGAAGGAACAGATGAACTGGCGGGAGCAGGGAGTTCACATGTGGCTGGAATGTAGGGAAATTATCAATGCTAGATTATTAGAGTGCCCACATGCAGGGTTACCACGCTCAGTCTGACACATCAGCAGAGAGTGTTTCTCCGTTGTTATGTTTCATCAGTGTACTTTTTGGCTAATGTGCAAATCCAGCATTAACTCTAGTGCATTTGGTCCATTCGGAGCTAAAGGATTCTGCTGTGAGTTGTTGAGTATCTAGTATTGGGAAGCTTTTGCATTCCGTTATTAGCTTGGAGCCAGTTGGCCCTCTATTGATGGTTTTTCCAAAGTTGAGAATAGAATTTTTTTCTACTTTTCTTCTTTGCATTTTTTTTCTATTACCTGCCCAAAGTCTCCTGATTTATACTTCCTCCTCTCTACTGAAAGCACAGCAACTGACACCCCGAAGCTATGTAATAAATATGGATGGTCTGTCTGCTGATGTTTACCTTGCCACCACTGAATTCATTCACAGTGGACTTTCGGTCCCCAACTCTGAGCAGTGGGCCCAGAGTCGGTATTGCTCATTTTTGTCAACAGAGCTGTCTCTTTGCTCTAGCTTCCCACTTAACCCCACCCAGCCATTTCCAAGAAAAGAAAGGAGTAAACATTCTCATCCTTTGTGGAATACTAGGATTATTATTTATAACCTGCTATAGTGGAGCCCTGATGGCACAGTGGTTAAGAGTTTGGCTGCTAACCAAAATGTTGACAGTTCAAATCCACCAGCTGCTCCTTGGAAACCCCATTGGGCAGTTCAGCTCTGTCCTGTAAGGTCACTATGAGTTTGAATTGACTCAACGGCAATGGGTTTGGGTTTTTTCCTTTTTTTTTTTTAATAGTGGCTCGGCTGCCAACCAAAAGGTCGGCAGTTTGAATCCACCAACTTCTTTTCGGAAACCCTATGGGGCGGTTCTAATCTGTCCTGTAGGGTCACTATAAGTTGGAATTGACTCGATGTCAACAGGTTTGATTTGGTTTTTTATTAAAACATAGTGTCTATGAAAAACCAACTGCCACCATTATATGTACTCAATGGAGAAAGACTAAGAGCCTTCCCATTGAGAACAGAATTGAAATAAGGATGCCTGCTATCACTACTACTCAGCATCATTCTAGAAGTCCTAGCCAAAGCAATACAGCAAGAAAAAGAAAGAAAAGATATCCAAATTGGAAAGAAGTAAAACTGTATTTGCAGATGACACGATCCTATATATAAAACATGGTACGGATACAGAAAAGTGCACATACGTGTACAGCCGGATGAATTATCACAAAATGAATATACCCAAAAGCAGCACCCTGATCGAGAAAGAGGACTAGCACTTCAGAAGCTCCCCTCATGCTTCCATCCTCTCACCATCTCTCCCAAAGCAAATCGTCCATGACTTCTCACACCAATACTATGCTTCTTTCTTTTTTTTTTTTTTCACTTTAGGTAAATGGAATCCTACAGTGTATAGTCTTCTTATCTGTTATCTTTCACACAGCATTATGGTTTTCTTTACAATTCACCTACGTTGTAAGGCTACATAGTTGAAAGTCTTTTTTAAGCATGGAATTGCCACTCTCGGAAGAAAGTTCTTCCCTCGACTACGTGTGCTTCCTAGTTATTCTGTATTTAATTTCATAAATCCTCTGTAATAAGTCAACATTGCTGGAATTCCCTTGCATTCTTGACTAGAGATCATAAGATGAATGTGAAGAGAGTAAGTTATCGCTAAATAAGACCCTTGGAAGTTTGGAAGTTTTTCCCCACTCCCCACTTCCTTTTTTTTTTCTCGGACCTTGTTTTAAGTTTGCACGTTAGGCTGCTGCTCTTATTGACTAAACTCACAGCCCCTCAATCTATAGATAGCATTGTTCTGTTGGAAAGTCTCGAAGGCCAGAGTCTCGTTTCTGATGAGTGGAACATTGTCACTGTGTCAGGGGTTGTCCAGTGTTCTGATCTGTTAATCCTACATCTAACAGTGAAGCTACCTTGAAATTCCTACAGCGAATCTGATCCTGCTGCTTGTCAACCATCTTTGCTTCTTGATCTGGGTGCTGGTTTTGGGGTGTATTCATTTTATGATAGTTCATCAAGCTATATGCTCGTGTGCACTTTTATGTACCCATGTTATGTTTTAATAATCTTCACCTTTGAATTCCCCACCCCTCACACTCACAGCATCCTCCAGATATCTTGCCCCATTGCTTTTCAGCAGGAGTTCAGTTCTTTGGGATGGAGAGATTAAACCGTCTCTCCAGTCTGGGAAGAACTACTTTGAGGGTGCCATTTTTTATATTTGTGTCTGCATCACCAAATACAGTGAACAAGAGCCCAAGCTGAGCTCAGGGTGAATCTCATCTGACATTTCACAGTCACTGTTTGGGAAGTAGTCCTGCACTTAATGAGGTGATCTCATTTTATGTCACTCCCATTCCTCCTTCGGACGTTATTAGTTCTGGAGTACACGCGACCTGGATGTTCCCTCAGGCCCGGCCGTTAGCTCTCCCATTTGGACAAAGTTGTCTTTCCTTTTTGGAAAAAACCATTACTATTGTGCCTTTTCAGTAATTGCGCTGAAGAACCAGTAAAGATACCAGTAGCATCAGTTGTCACTTCTGATTGGTGGGAGTGAGAAGCCAGTAGGAGGATGAGGGGCCCTCAGGAAGGGCTCCAGTGAGTGTTTGAGGGCTCTTGTCTCTCACAGGAAGCACCCGGGGGGTTTGGAGCCGGGGGGAGCTGAGGCAGCACTAAGAAGGGCAGGGTAGAGCGGCGGCTTGATGGTATGGACGCAGACGTTTTAGATGTCCATTTCATGCGGCTCCCTTGCCTCTCACATGGGCCTTTTTGAATCGGTGAGGGACTGTTTTGAGATGAACTTGACAGCTGTCTCCTTATCAGGCCCTGCAGGAGCAGCTGACTTCGGTGGTGCAGGAAATTGGACACCTCATCGACCCCATCACCACAGCAGCTCGGGGAGAAGCAGCCCAGCTGGGACATAAGGTAAGGTGCACCAAGGACCCTGCTGAAAGCGCGTGTGCTTGGGAGAGACGTGTGCATTGACTCTGTTCCCACCGCCTGTCGTGCCGGCTGTCGTGTCTTGGTCCAGTGGTGGCTTAGGCTGCAGAAAATTTCACTCAACCTTCCCTTGGCATCTAACCCAAAAAGTATTACTTCAGGATCTATTTTTACCTGGAGCTGAGATGAAAGCTACTCAGATTGTTCTGGTTGTGGTCAGACTTTTTGGCCAACAAGAAGGCATTTACAGACAGCCATCACTCTTGACCTTCTCTGAAATAAACCAGTGACGGAAGCTGATGTTCTTAGCCTGAGGCCCACTATCATTCCCCCTGGGTGGGCTGGCCCCATTCTGGTGGGTTAGGGGTACATTGTTCTTCCCATGGTTCCTCTGTAGTGTGTATTGTTGGGCAAAAGTAATTGCAAACAGAATCTGCTCCCAATCCAGAAAACCTCTCCACAAACGTAGACGAGAAAGAAAACAATTTTATACTGAACAAGCGTTAAACAGACAGCCGCTAAAGAGATCGAAAAGACAGAAAGGAACCTGACTCTTATAAGCTAAGCAGATACAACCCTTTCCGCTCTTGTTTTCAAGATAAAATTCTGATTTTCTGGCATCTTTATGATCATAGTAGGGTGGCAGTTTGGAGCCTGGCACCACCTGAAGTTAGGTTCATCTCCCAGGAAACTGGGAAGGAGGGGTGTGATCTTCCTCGATGGTTACATTCCAGAAGAAATGGCTCCCAGGTCCTTGGGGAAAAATCCTTGATTTACACACTTTTCAAAGAGAGAGAGAAAGAACTTAAAATTACAAGTTTTCTAAAGTAAATGCTGCTGTAGGGTCGCTATGAGTCAGAATTTACTCGATGGCAATGAGTTTATTTTTACTTTGAAGGAGCCCTGGTGATGCAGTGGTTAAAGCGCTCAGCTGCTAGCCGAAAGGTTGGCAGTTCAAACCCACCAGCCACTCCTCAGGAAAAAGATGTGGCAGTCTGCTTCCTTAGAGATTACAGCCTTGGAAACTCTGTGGGGCAGTTCTACTGTGTCCTATAGGGGGGCTATGAGTTGGAATCAGCTTGGCAGCAATGAATTATTTTTCATGTAAGAGGGCAGGGGTGGTTTACTGGTAGAATTCTCACCTGTCATGTGGGAGACCTGGGTTCGATTCCCAGCCAATGCGCTTCATGGACAGCCACCACCCATCTGTCAGGGGAGGCCTGCATGTTTCTGTGATGCTGAACAGGTTTCAGCAGGGCTTCAAGACTAAGGCAGACTAGGAAGAAAGGCCTTTGCAATCTGCTTCCAAAAAACCAGGCACTAAAAACTCTATGGATCACAGTTGTTTGATCTGCAAGATCATTCATGGCGCGGGACCGGGCGTTTCGTTGCATCGTGCACGGGGTCGCCATGAGTCAGGGCCGACTCGACGTAGCCACAACAACAACATTTCAATTTGTATTTGCCCTTACTCTCTTACACGTGAGGAAAGGAGTCCTTACAAACTTCCCTTCTGGATGAGCAAAGCCTTCCTGTGAGGCCCCTCCAGAGGAGTCGTCCGTGAGAGTTAATACCCACGTTTTCTAAGTGCTGAACGATGTTTTGACTGTTTTAGGTTCGTTTTGCAAATCCTTTAAGGATAGTTGGCTGACCTGTAGCCTGTGCCTCACCAGGGAGAGGCCAGAAATTGGATTTTTAACAACCTTAAGGGTTTCCTAGCATTTATCAGTATAACTGTCAGTGTTGATGTGCAGATCAAGAAATCCAGTAGCCAAAATCTTTTCTGAAGGTATCGATTTTAAAGAATCAATATTGCTCTTTTAAATTACAGAATAGCTTCACGGCCCACTAAGCTTTCTGCTGGTTCTGAGGTGGGATTTTTGAGATTTAAAATGGCCAGCACCTCTCTGCCTCCTCCACTGTAACAAATTCCATTTTTCAGCCAAGTTCCTTCATAATAAGAAAACGGCTTATCCGCCTGTGTGAGGAGGGTTTGGGGACTGGCCTGGAGGATAGAGCTCTGCAGGCTGGCAGACTGGGGCCCCTGCCTGGCTGTCTGTCACACAGTGATAGGGATTGAACTGTGTTCCTCAGAATTATGTGTTGGAATCCTAACCCCTATACATGGTAAGAGCTCGGCTACTAACCAAAAGGTCAGCAATTCGAATCCACCAGCCGATCATTGGAAACCCTATGGGGCAGTTCTACTCTGCCCTGTAGGGTTGCTGTGAGTGGGAATCCACTGGATGGCTTTTTTTTTTAATACCTGTGGGTGTAATCCTGCTCGGAAATAGAGCCTTCTGTGTCATGTTAATGAGGCCATATCAGTATAGGGCGTGTCTTAACACCTAATCACTCCTGAGATATAAAAAGAGTAGATCAGGCACAGAAGCCAACAAGCACAAATGGGGGAAGGATAGATGCCAAGTGTAGATCGCCAAGGAACCGAGGGAGGCCAAGAAGAACGCTAGAGAATCCGAGACAAGCATGTTCCCCTAGAGGCAGAGAAGGAGCCTTCCCCTAGAGCCAGGGCCCTGAATTCATGCAGACTTCTAGCCTCCTAGACTGAGAAAAGATAAGTTTTTGTTCATTAAAGCCACATGTATTCTGTTAACAGCAGCACTAAGAAACTAAGAGACAAGGAAGCCGAGTTAGAGAAACTGGACATTTCAGCAGTTAGTTGTAATTTCAGTAGGAATTCCATAAAGTATTTCTAGACGTCTTTAGGGGGCAATATCTTTGTCTCCACAGATACTGTTGGAGGATTAATTCCTGTGTCAGTGGGTGGCATCAAAAGAAAATATGTTTGTGTCACTTGGTTATAAATTTACTCTCGGCACTTTGGCTAAGTAAGTCCCTCACTTACTTAGAGAAAGGAAGCCTCATGAGGCCACGTATCAAGAGGAGCCATTGACTGAGAGTTAATACCACGTTGTTTTAAATGCTCTATCACAGCACTTAGGTGCTGCGCTGGCTCAGCAGCTGGGACACCACTTGGGCGTGATTAGAAATGCACATTCTCCAGTGACACCTAGATCCAGGGAATCCACATCCTGCATCAGATACTCACAATTCTGTGTTATTTGACGTGTCAGCCCATGCGAGGATGCTTCCTGTTCTGTCAGGTCCTTCAGGAACAGAAGGTGTTAGAGTTCTTGTTACACTCGGTGTTGTTAGCTGCCGTTGACTCAGCCCCCAGCTCGTGGAGACCCCACGCACAGCGCAATGAAATCCTGCCTGCTGCCTCCGCCATCCCTCATGGTCAGGTGCAGATCAGACTGTTGCGATCCACAGAGTGTTCATTCGCTGCTTTTTGGAAGTAGATCATCAGGCATTTCTTCCTCGTATGTCTAAGACTGGAGGCTCTGCTGAAACCTGTTCAGCATCATAGCAACACGCGGGCCTCTACGAACACACAGGGGGTTAGCTGCGCATGAGGTGCATTGGCCGGGAATTGAACCCGGGTCTCCCTCATGGAAGGTGAGAATTCTACCACTGAACCACCACGGCTCCCTAGATACAGGCAGAAGGGAAAATCACATCACTCAGTTTACCTTTGCCCGATTGGGGTAATGAAATGAAGTAGTACTGGATTTTAACCCAAAGTATAAAATAAATATCAATTAGTTCATACTGATATAAATAAATGGCCAAATGACTAACGAAATGAGAGAGAAGACATAAATCTCCCATGCAGAAGAGTTCCAAATAATTTGTGTGGATATTCCGCACCCCAAGGAGGTGGAGCTTAACTCCCCACTCCTTAAATTCCCCCAGGTTGAGCTAATCATGAGCAGAGCATCAAAACTGATATCATTTTTGCTTTTATCACATACTTAAGACTTGGTTGAAATGTTCTTTCCCTGTGGGGCAGAAGGCAATGGGATTGGCTGCCCCAAATCTTTTGAGGGTGCCTTTGATCTCAGGCATCTCTTCTCAGCTCCCCTGTCCCCCATTCTTCTCCTACTCCCCCTGCCTTCTCAGTTGTAAGATACTTGACTTTGGTTCTTTAAAACGCATTCTGTTTGCAAGACTGACAGTTTGTGCAATGGAATTCAGTTCTCACACCTAACTCTGAATCTCAGAGTGGGTTTCTGAGCACTTGTGCCAGGTGCGCACGGACTGACTTGTGCTTACTTTCTAATCTGTAGTGCAGTTTCATCTGTTTTTCATCAAAGATATGGTGAACCACATGTGAAATTGTTCACTACAGATTAGTAATTAAACCTGTGTATACGTTGCTTACTGTAAGCCTGTATGTACCTTGCTTACTGGTTAATCCGCCCCTGAGTCTTCTGCCGTCATCGTAGAAGATAAAAACCAAGCAAGAGTTCATTCATTAGCAAGGACTTTCAGAAGTAAGTTTCAGCAGATCTTGGGCTTTTCTCTGAGTCATTCATCCCCACACCCACCCCCCTCCCAGCCAGTGGTACCCCTGAAGGAGACCCATGTACTTACACGTTGCGTCTGTGGATTTTTTTCTCTTGAAAGGTCACACAGCTGGCAAGCTACTTTGAACCCTTGATCTTGGCCGCGGTTGGCGTGGCTTCCAAGATCCTTGACCATCAGCAGCAGATGACAGTGCTGGACCAGACCAAGACACTCGCAGAGTCTGCCTTGCAGATGTTGTACGCGGCCAAAGAAGGTGGCGGGAACCCCAAGGTACAGTCCAGGGTGTTGCGGATTCACGTGTGACCACTAAGAAGCCATCACACATTCCTGCTGTATTGTGTCCCTCCAGGAAAAACATCTCCTGTTCTCGCTTGGTAGCATTTGATCTCCCACTGTCAGGTGGGGAATCATCTTGTGTTGATCTTCCCAGTGATCATCAGGAGAAGAGCAAGAAATGTACATAATCAAAGCTCATGTATAAGTTCTTCTTTCTTTGACAGAACGTGTGGGCAAGTGTCCTTGGGGAGGACAATTGTATTGTGTGATTATTACAGGAATAGAAGCTGTAGAACCTGCTGGGCACCTGCTCAGGGTTGAAACCTGGCTTGCACAAAGGAAAGCACTGTGGTTTCAAGTGAACGTCATTTCCACTCCTGGTACTAGAGTTCATCTGTGGCGTTTGCTTTTGCTGCTGCGGGGACAGTAGGTTAATATGAGGATCACACTTACACTTTGCAGGTGGAATATTTCGGTAGCATGGTGACAGCATGTCATTTTCTCCCAGGGTGCCATTTATGTCAGCGATTGCTTTGCTTGGGAAACCATTGTGTGCCTTATTTCGTGAGTGCCCTGGTACCTGGTGAGGAGGTTGGAGGCCCCTCCTGCTGTTTGCACCTCCTAGCAGCCGGCACCACCTGACCAATCTGATCTTAACAGAGCCTCACCTAAGCACACTGACCTGAGAGAGCACAGACTGTCAAGATTTGTATAGGATACTCATTTGCAAGCTCTAGGATTCTGTATGTGTGTATGTATTATCATTATGCTGTATGTTGCATCTCTAATGTCTTCAAATCCATAGCACGGTATAGCAGAGAAGACTCCAGATCGAGTCAGAATCATAAAAGAGTGATTTCACGTTAGTTGTTAGTTGCTGTCATGTCAGCTTCGACTCTTAGTGACCTTGTGTGGGAGAAAATAGAACAAAACATTGCCCAGTCCTGCTCCATCTTCATGATCGTTGGTATGTTTGGGCTCATCTTCCAACACTGTCTCAGACAATGTTCTGTTGTGATCCGTGAAGTTTCCGTTGGCTGATTTTCAGAAGTAGATTGCCAGGCATTTCTTCCTAGTCTGTCTTAGTCCAGAAGCTCTGAAACCTGCCTACCATGAGTGACCCTGCTGTTATTTGAAAAGCCGGTGCTATAGTTTCTAACATCACAGCAACACTCAAGCCACCACAGTATGACCAAGTGACAGCCGGGTGGTGGTGTGATCTCATAGCTAACAGTTATCGAGTGCTGACTCTGTGTCACCTATATCTTCCCGTTGTTTAATCCTTATTAAAGCTCTGTGAGGTAGGTAGCGTCCCATTTTGCAGATGTGGAGACTGAGACTGAGAACGCTTAAATTGTCCCCGGTCTCAAGTGGATGTGGAGTCAGAACTGAGCCAGTGCTCTTAACCAGAAGGCACTATGTGAACACAGGTGAACTTTGTCCCAAACCAGGGCTGGAGAAGAGTCAAGAAAAGCCACAGGGGAGAGGAGACATGTTGGCTGTTGATATCAAAAAAGGAAATTACGTAGCATTTAAGGGTGGCTAGAGGCATCCTAAGACGCGGGAACCGCATATACAGAGGCATAGATGTTGTTGTCGTTAGATGCCATCGAGTCGGTTCCGACTCATAGCGACCCTCTGTACAACAGAAGGAAACACTGCCCAGTCCTGCGCCATCCTCACAGTCGTTGTTATGTTTGAGCCCATTGTTGCAGCCACTGTGTCAGTCCATCTCATTGAGGATCTTCCTCTTTTTTGCCATCTGCTTTACCAAGCATGATGTCCTTCTCCAAGAACTGATCCCTCCTGGTAACATGTCCGAAATACACGAGACAGAGTCTCGCCATCCTCGCTTCTAAGGAGCATCCTGTCTGTACTTCTTCCAAGATGGATTTGTTCATTCTTCTGGCAGTCTTTTATCCCAGGGAACCTCATGGTTGGAGCATAGGTCGTTGACACTCTAAGCTTTATAAAGATGTGCAAATGGCAGCTGAGAACCAGTGTGAACTAGTTTTCAGTGAATGACTGACTGGTACACTAGGTGATGAACTAAAGCATGGGATGAGTGAAGGCAAGAGAGGTCTTCTCTCCCCTCACTGATGCCTCGTTCAGCCTGCACTGTCTGCCGTCCTGACAGGCTTGTCACATGGATGCCCGGGACACTAGAAGGGTCCTGTAGGCCCTTTCCTAAGGATGCGATGCCCAGACCTAATCAAATTGGATGTTATTCTTTGCACAAATGTTTACTAGGTGCTTGCTAGGTGATAGGTGTTGTACGTCCCCATTTGCAGAGGAAATGGAATTAAAATGTAGTTACTAAATGAGTGTCAGTGGCTTTGATTTGGTGGAAAATAGCACAAGCTTTGGGGTCAGGCATAATTGGATTCAAACCCTAATCCTGCCTTTTGCTAGCAGTTTACCTCATTTCTTTGTTTCCTCATCTAAACAATGGGGTTCATAATAAATACCCACCTAGGATAGCTGGAGAGATTAAATGAGATAATGTGCCCGTACTGGGATGAATAGTGTCCCCCTAAAATTTACATTCTTCCTGGAACCTCAGAATGTGACCTTATGGAAATAGGATCCTTGCAGGTGTAGTTAGCTAAGTTAACATGAGGTCATACTGCAGTGGGGTGGACCGTAATCCACTATGACTGATGTCCTTATAAGAAGGAGAGCAGTGACCCAGACACAGAGGGAAGATGGCCACGTGGAGATGCAGGCAGAGATCGGAGTGATGCTGCCACAAGCCAGGGGCTATGGGGGCCACCAGAAGCTGGAGGAAGGATTCTCCTTAGAGGCTTCAGAGGGAACATGCCCCCACTGACACCTTGATTTGAGACTTCTGGCCTCTAGAACTGTGAGAGAATACACTTCTGTTATTTTAAGCCCCCCAGTTTGCAGTAATTTGTTAGGGCAATATCTTAGTCTCTTAGTGCTGCTGTAACAGAAATACGACCCGTAGGGGGCTTTAAAGAACAAATTTATTCTTTCACACTTCTGGAGGCTGAAAGTCCAAATCTAGGTCTCGACCATGTGGCTTCCTTCCTTGGAGGTAGTCCTGGGCAGTCCCTGGTTCCTTCGCTTGTAGACGATCCGCACATACATGGTATCTGTATGTCCCCGTGTGCATGTCTCGGTTTCTCATCTGCTCTTTCATAACTGATTAGATTTAGAGCCCACCCTGCTCAAGAATGATCTAATTAACATAACAAATGAAACCTTATTTCCAAATAGGATCACATACACAGGTATAGGGATTGGGATTTGTCTTAGTCATCTAGTGCCGCTATAACAGAAATACCACAAGGGGATGGCTTTAACAAACAGAAGTGTATTCTCTTACAGTTTAGGAAGCTAGAACTCCAAATTCAGGGTGTCAGCTCCAGGGAAGGCTTTCTGTCTCTGTCGGTCCTGGGGTAAGGTCCTTGTCATCAGTCTTCACCTGGTCTAAGAGCTTCTCAGCACAGGGACCCCAGGTCCAAAGGATGCTTGCGCTCCCAGAACTTCTTTCTTGGTGGTATGAGATCCCTTTCCTCTCTGATCTCTTTTATAGCTCAAAAGAGATTGCCTCCAGATATAACCTAATCCTGTTGATTGCATCTTGTCTCATTAACATAACTGCCTCTAATCCTGCCTCATTATTATAGAGGTTAGGATTTACCACACATAGGATAATTACAGAATGCTCCTTAGAAGCAAGGATGGCAAGACTACATGTCACATACTTTGGACCTGTTATCAGGAGGGACCAGTCCCTGGAGAAGGACATCATGCTTGGATAAAGTAGAGGGTCAGCGATAAAGAGGAAGATCCTCAACGAAATGGATTGACACAGTGGCAGCAACAGTGGGCTCAAGCATAACAACGATTGTGAGGATGGCACAGGACTGGGCAGTGTTTCGTTCTGTTGTACGTGGGGTTGCTGTGAGTCAGAACTGATTCAGCGGTGACTGACAACAACAACAAGGTTGATCACATCAGATCACAAAATGGAGGACAACTATGCAATACTGGGAATCATGGCCTAGCCAAGTTGACACACATTTGTGGGGGACACAATTCAATCCATAACAGGCAGCCAGAGAAAACTAAAGCAGGGCCTGACACAATATGTATTAAAAAAACAGAAACAGTGGCAGTCCCAGAGCCCAGGCTCAGTGAATCTCATGCATTTCAAAGGTCTCTGCAGCCTCACCCTCTACCCACTGAGCTTCCTTCTATGCTCATCCCTTTTCTCTGCCTTCAGCTCCCTTCTATCTACAGCATCTTTGATGGGCCCCTCCAGCTTCCTGCAACACTCCAGCAAAAACATAGCCCTGTCCACTGTGGGACAGTCCTTATTATTAGCTGTTTTTCTCCTTTGCTAATGTCGAAGCCTGCTTCCCTACAGCCTTCTCCCACTGTCCATTCTCCCGTGATATCCATGCCTTCTATAAAGGGCTTTGTGGTTGAACTGTAATAAAGGAATAAAGCTCCCTTGGAGGTAGACTTCAGACACATTTCCAAAAAAAGAAAGGTATTGGATTTTTTCTCATGTATTGTGTCATAAGGAGCATCTAACAAGGAGCCCCTCCAGGGTCTACAATAACGTCCTTGTCATTGCGCCCACTGACTCATTTACCCGGCTGCCCACTGACTCATTTACCCCGGCTGCCCACTGACTCATTCACCCGGCTGCTGTGGTCATTTAAACGTGCCTGAGCTGAGATCCTACTGTGCCTTTGGGTGTCTGACATTATTGTGCTCAGTAGCGAGCGTGTCCAATTTGGGACTAGGCTGTGTAATTAAGATGAGATTTGCCTTTGAGGTTCAGAGGAAAAGATCCTGGATGAGCCTAGAGTAATTGGTGGAGGTTTCCTAGGAGAGGTAGATTGAGCTGGCCCTTTAAGGATTTGTGAAATTTGAACATGTGGAGTGAAGAAGGGCATGCCGTCCAGGGAGTTCCACAGTGCAAACAGCGTGTGGAGGCAGAGGGGGGCAATTCGTTTCTGGTATACCCAAGAGCAAGGGTGTGTTTTTGTTGCTTTTTTTTTTTAATTGTTGTAAATACATACATGTATAGAACACAGTATTTGCCTGTTCAGCATTTTTCAGGTGTACAATTTAGTAACAGCAGTTACGTTAATCATGTGGTGCAACCACCACCCATAAAAGCGTGTGCTTTTGAAGGTTTGGGGAAGGTGTCTGTCTTAGTTATCTAGCGCAGGGATAACAGAAATACCACAAGTGGATGGCTTTAACAGGGAGAAGTTTATTTTCTCACAGTTTAGTAGGCTGGATCCGAATTCAGGGTGTCAGCTCCAGGGGACGGCTTTCTCTCTCTGTCGGCTCTGGAGGAAGGTCCTTCTCATCAGTCTTCCCCTAGAGTAGGAGCTTCTCCGCTTAGGAACCCCAGGGTCCAAAGGACACGCTCTGCTCCCAGTGCTTCTTTCTTGGTGGTATGAGGTCCCCACTCTCTGCTTGCTTCCCTTTTATCTCTTGTAAGATAAAAGGTGGTGCAGGCCACACCCCAGGGAAACTCCCTTTACGTTGGATCAGGGATGTGACCTTAGTAGGGGTGTTACAATCCTACCTTAATCCTGTTTACCATAAAATTGCAATCACAAAATGAAGGACAGCCAGACAATACTGGGAATCATGGCCTAACCAAGTTGACGCATATTTTGGGGGGACACAGTTCAATCTATGACAGTGTCCTTTAAACTTTCCAAGGAGTCCAGAGAGCAGTTATGTAACTTGCTGCTGCTGCCCCCAAAATTCTGATCCCTTTTTTTTTTTTTTTATTGTGGTGAAATGTATGTAAGAAAACATTTGCCATTCCATCCGTTTTCACTCATGCGAGTCAGTGACGTTAACTGCATTCACCGTGTTGTACAACCAGTACTACTAACCGTTTCCAATTTTTTTCTTCACTCTTAGCAGAGACTCAATACCCGTTAATCAAATACCTCCCCGTTTCCCCCTCCCACCACTCCTGGTAACCACTGATAAGCTTTAGTTTCTATGCATTTGCCCATTCTAGATAGATAAGTGGAATCACACGGTATCTGTCTGACTTATCTCACTCAGCATGATGATTGCAAGGTTCGTCCGTGTCATAGCATGTATCAGAACGTCATTTCTCGTTTCTGGTACCATTTTAAGCCCACATGGGAGAGCAGATACTTGGCAAGCAGCACTCACTTCTCCCCCAATGTGTACTTTGTTTAAATATGAATGCGAAGAATTGCTGACATTTTTATGTCACCTAACAGTCATCTTGTTCTGAGTGCAATTTACAGAAAGATACACCTTCCATTTCACCTTCTGTATAAATGAGAATGAGATGCTCTGTCTGAGGCAGGTCACTTTTTAGACTTCCATCGTCAAAATAGGACATCATGCTTGGTACAGTAGAGAGTCAGCGAAAGAGAGGAAGACCCTCAACGAGATGGAGTGACACAGTGGCTGCAACAGTGAGCTCAAGCACAGCAAGGATTGTGAGGATGGCGCAGGACCGGGCAGTGTTTCATTCTGTTGTACATGCGGTCGCTATGAGTTGGAATCAGCTTGATGGCAGCTATCAACAATAACAGCAACATCATCAAAATAAAGCAGGTCACACATTGTGCCAAGTAACTGGTACATGTTGAAATCAACCGTCAACCTACATTACCAGTTTACTCTGCCATCTTCCCTCAGAGAGACAGTAAGACATCCTGACACGGCTGCCTTGAGGACGGCCACCTGTCATCAGCACATTTCTCATCTCAGTTGTCATTTTTGAAGGACTCTCTCGGCCTCCCGTGGGTTGTCAGCTCAGTAGACAGGGCCAATTCCCCTGAGTCACACAGCCCCTTCTTGGAATTCTTCTTTTATCTAAATCACTCAGAAGAATTACCATTTTTTATCTGCTGACTCCCTCATCTTCTCCCTACCAAGGGACAGCTGCTGTGTCTTGGGTCTTCTGGAGGATCGTCCCCCTCTGAGCGGGGCCAGGCACCCACGACCCCCGCGTGGCTGTGGTCCCGGGGTCGGGCTCATCTGCTGGCAAGCTACCAGGAGGTGGACTGTGGTACCGTGCCCTGGGGACTCCAAGCGACGAACGTGGGGACTGTGAACGGGCAGCAAGTTCAGGGGGCAAGTGTGGAGCTGGAGTGGGACACAGAGCCACGAGAGCCGGGGCCAGGTTGTCACTGGGATGCAGAAGAGGATGGTGAGCGAGAGGCCTCAAGCTAACTGTGCAGAGCAGGTTCCTGAGGCCCCTCCCTCTGCCACGTGGTGCCTGTCCTTATGTGGTCTGTCCAGCACACAGCTTCCAGATAGCCAGACTTCTTACAGGGGGCTCCAAAGGCACATGTCCAGAGAGAGAGGGAGGGAGGGAGGGGAGCCAGCAGTGGGCAGGGGAGAAGAGGAAGGGGGTCAGGTAAGGGCTGTGTCATCTTTTATGACTTTGTGTCAGAATCACCTATGGATCACAACAGTCCAGTCCCCTTGTGCATGGGATCGCCATGGATGTAATTGTTGAGAGTCCCAGAGCATGTTAGGCCTCCTACAGATTCATTTCTCCTCCTCTTATCAACATTTCCATACTTATAGAAAAGGAATTATAGTGTATCGGACAACTTTGAAGAGAAATACGTTTGTCGTGACCACATTTTTCTTTTGTTTATCTTTATTGAATGTGTTAACTTGTACATTTAGGAATCCGTGGAAGTCTGTTTCTACTACCTTGAACATAGTAACATATAATCATGTCATAAGCAGTTCTGGCTTCCTCCAGACTATAAAGGAATGGTTTTCTTTTTCTGTATGTCTTTCTGTTCAGTTTGGAGCCCTCATGGCTCAGTGGTTAAGAGCTTAGCTGCTAACCAAAAGGTCGGCAGTTCAAACCCAACAGTCGCTCCTTGGAAACTCTATGGGGAAGTTGTCCTCTGTCCTATAGTGTCGCTATGAGTAGGAATCAACTCAATGGCAACGAGTTTATACGTCTTTCTGATTTTTACTTACTTTCCAAACAAATGTACGCACATAATATAAAGAAAAGGAAAAATACAGACTATCTTGCTCTGCTCCATAACGTGTATGTAGGTTTTTGGAGTTTTTTTAGTTGAGGTGAAGTTCCCATAGACTATAATTCACCACCTTAAAGTGAATAATTTAGTAGCATTTAGTATAGTCAGTGTTGTGCAACCACAACCTCTGTCTAGTTCCGAAACATTTTCATCACCCCAAAAGAAAATCTCATATCCATTAAGCAGTTCCTCCCTGTTCCCCCTTTCCCTGAGACCCTGGCCACCACTCATCTGCTTTCTGTCTCTGTGGATTTATCTGTTCTGGACTCTGATGGCAGTGGAATCCCACAGTATGTGGCCTTTTATGTCTGGCTTCTTTCCCTTAGTGTAGTGTTTTCAAAGTACGTCCGTATCGCAGCGCGTGTCAGGACTTCACTCCTTTGTTTATGGCTGAATACTAGTCCGTTGGATGGATATACCACATTCTGTCTATCCGTTCCTCTGTTGATGGGCCATGGATGTAGTTGTGCATTCTTAAAGGAAGCGAAGTGATTATTAAAAGACTGAGCACCATTTTCTTCTGCCTATAGAAACAGTTCACAAGTCTCTCCTCCCCTTCCCTTCTCAGGCGCAGCACACGCATGATGCCATCATGGAGGCCGCCCAGCTGATGAAGGAGGCTGTGGACGACATCATGGTGACGCTGAACGAAGCAGCCAGTGAAGTGGGGCTGGTGGGGGGCATGGTGGATGCCATAGCAGAAGCCATGAGCAAGGTGGGTCGGAGCTCCCAGGCGTTCACCTTCCGTCCTTCACTTAGTTTACTGGTGCTGCTGTAAGATCAGGAATTTATTTTCTCACAGTTCTGGAAGCTAAAATTCACGCTGAATATAGTAACATAAAATCAGTCAGCAGGGTCTCAGCCCATGTCTATTCCTTCCTTATAGGTAGCTCCGGGCATTCCTTGGGTCCTTGGCCTATCTCCCACCCACCCACCACCCACCCTTGTGTATGTATCTCTGTGTCTGATCTGCTCTTTTTATAACTCAGAGTGATTAGGTTTAAGACACATCCTATACTGATACGGCCTCATTGACATTACAAAGAAAACCCTTTTCCCAAACAGGATAACATCTACAGGTATAGGGGGTTAGGATTCCAACACATATTTGGGGGAAGGGGGTCACAATTCAATCCACAGCAGTTTTTAACTCCATTTCCTCCTCGACTTCCCTCAGACTTAGCCCCCAGCTACTTTATTCTAAGGGGCTGAGTGAGGTCGAGGCTGACACCAACAGCCTTCTTTCTCTTGAGGGTTCTGTGAATGTACAAATGTTCAATAATAACGTCCAACAAATTATTCATTCTCACTTCTAGAAGCCATAGCACCCTTCCTTCTAATTTCACACAAGAAAAAAAAGTGGAGATGGAGAAGATATCATTGGTTTCCTTGTTTGTAAAGTAGAGATAATTAATCTCCCCCGTGTAAGTCCTAGGGTTGCTGTGGGAACCCATCCAAAATGAGATAGTAAAGTGGCTCCTAAGTGTTGGTGTTTGGAATCACTGGGGAGCTTTTTACAATGCAGATTCCCAGTCCCCACCCCAGACCTGCTCACCTGGAAATCTCTATGGGGTGAAGGCCAGGAATCTGTATGTGCACTTCAAAAATCTCTCCATGGTTCTAGTATATAGCCAGATGTGGAAACCGCTGAAATGATATGTGAAAAAGCCCTTGGTGAACTCTTGTAGGCAATGGAAATAACAAAAATAACATGAGTATCTTTTGCTCATGTAGTGACCCATCAGTTGAGTCAGTGCAGTAGGGAAATCTGATTGGAGACAGTTTTAACTCCACATCACCTGCTCCTTCCCCCAAGGAATGTTCCACTAGACATGTCAGTTTGATATCATTAAAATTAACAATTGTTCATCAACATCTAATTGCCATCCTATGATAGCATAGGATGTGTTTTGAAATGTCCATTGTCAGATTGTGAAATTAATAATATGGTTTTTCAGGACAATAACTGATCTTTAATTGCTAATTTAGAGAAGGTTGGTTGCTCATATCTCCCTAAAGAGATGATAGCCTGAAACTAGATAGTACTATAGTTATGATAATTATCATTAAACAGTATGCAGTCATTATCAGCCTGATAAAGTCACCAGTTCAGGCTGGTATACTGTGGCTCCATTTAGAGATCCCAGACTCTGCCTTGTCAAAGCAGTCAATTAATTCCTGGTGTGGGCTTCTCCTGCTTCAAATCTAGACAGTTTTGAAAATGAATGAAATCTCCTTCTTTCAAAAGGCCAGGGGGTAAGTCTCAGTGGGTCTGTTTGCTTTTCAGGACATTGGAACTCCAGAGCTTTAAAAATAAGCCATGTGTATCTACCAAGGGAAAGGAGCCCTGGTGGCGCAATGGTTAAAGCGCTCAGCTGGTAACCGAATATCGACAGTTCAAACCCACCAGCTGCTCCATGGGAGAAAGATGTGGCAATCTGCTTCTGTAAAGATTACAGCCTTGGGAACCCTATGGGGCGGTTCTACTCTATTCTATAGGGTCACGATGAGTCAGAATCGACTCGATGGCAGTGGGTTTTTGGTAACCCTGGTGGCGCAGTGGTTAAGTGCTACAGCTGCTAACCAAAGAGTTGGCAGTTTGAATCCACCAGGTGCTCCTTGGAAACCCTCTGGGATAGTTCTACTCTGTCCTGTAGGGTCGCTATGCGTCGGAATTGACTCGACAGCAGTGGGTACCAAGGTATTCCATAATGGAGCACAAGGTTTCTCGGTACAAGTTAGAAATTCAAATGATAATCTTTTTCTTGTTAGGAAAAGGTGCTTTTCAGAATCACTCTCATGATAGAGAAGAGTTCCATAAATCCCAGGAAGATGGAAGTCAGATCCCTGAAGTCTTTTGTTCAGAACCTTTGAGCCTTGTGTACAGGCCGGGATATCGGCAGGGAAGGCGGCTCTTGTACCTGATTTCAGTGGTGTAACAGCTGCTCTCTCAGCCCCGCATGCGCTGGATCCTTCTGGAAGGGCTAGGAAATGGGTCTGGTATTACCTCCTAGCGATAACTAGGAATTGCTGCCAACAGAGCCACAGAGACCAGGAACAAAGTTTTTTTCCCAGTTAATCTGCAAAGTATGTGATCAGGGTTTCGTTGGTACCTTAAACTCTTACCTACCCAAGGACCACATGACGCCTCTTTCCCATTCCTTTTACTCAGCCCACCTACCCTGCCCATCACTGGAGAACTTTGTAGTAAGTGATATTTCAGGTCCTTTGGCTCCCTAAGTAGCAAGGCATTAGAAAACTGACATTTTCTATAAAAGTTTCAGCTAGTTGGTTAGAACCATGATATCCCATTAGAAACACTGTCCAGAATTCTCAAAGGCAGTGACTGGCAGAAAAATCTGAGTGTGCTCAAAGCTGATTCTAACTTGGATGCAATCCTTGACACCCTTGTGCTTCTGCTGTGGAGTTCTTTCTAAGATTTTCTCTCTCTGTATCCAAGCACTAGAATTTAGAGTAAGGCTTGGGAGCTAATTGGTTACTGTGAAGTAATCATCTGTCTGGGTGACCTTGGACAAATCACTTAACCCCTCTGAGCCTTGCTTTTTCCGCCTGTAGAATAAAAGAATTCAGTGTGGTTAGTACTGCTCAACCTTTGGGATTTCATAACTCAATCTTTGTTTTCTTGCCAAGAAAGGGAATTAAATAAAACAGCAACAAACCCTGCTGTCTTCTACTATCACTATTACTTCATAAAAGAAAGTTCATGCTGGCACAAAAAAAAGGAAGGATATAATCTCAAAATGAAGGAAAGTTCTTTCAACTAATTCAGTTTGACATCCTGAAAAACTCCCCTCTTTATTCTTGTCTCACGTTTCTTCAGACTGGTAGAAGGCTCCTCAAGGTGGTCGGTGGCCACTGGACCGAATGTCTGACACTGGCCTCTAGCTCCAGGGTCCTGGCTTGTTTGCACTTGCACCACATCTCCCACGAGGCTCCCAGCACACTGCCCGACACTCAGAAGATGCTCAGTCAGTGTGTGCTGTGTAAATGAGTCCACAGCTCAGCCCTCATCTGAGTAGCAGAGCCCCGTGCTGTGATAGGAGAGATTGGACAGCATCTCTCTCCCTAATGAAGAAACCTAAAGAATCCAGCCCGGAGTCTGTGTTGACAGTTTGACGGGCTGTGCAGTCACCTCATGCATTCAGTGATCCGTTCCTTCCACCCATGCTCTACCTCACGTCTGCTCAGGTCGTGTAGCTCTCGACGTCTCCATCTAACATTTTCCCAGTTGGTCTCTTGGCCTGTGGTCTCTTCTCTGACTCCAGACTATCTGGCACAGAAATGCCAGGCAGATCTTCTCAAATACATTGTCCCCTATTCCAGAGCCCTGGGGGTGCAGTGATTAAGAGCTATGGCCGCTAGCCAAAAGGTCGGCAGTTTGAACGCACCAGCCGCTCCTTGGAAACCCTATGGAGCAGTTCTCTGTCCTTTCGGGTCACTATGAGTCGGAACCAACTCGATAGCAACAGGTTTGGTTTTTCTGGGTTACTCCGGAGCCCACCATTTTCTTCATGCTTTTCAAGGCTCTCCATAAAGCAGATCCAGCGTCATTCCTACCACTGTCTCCATAACCCCCTTGCTGTTCAAGCCAGGCTGACTGCACTATACTCTTCCTGTGTTGATTGCTATTTGCCTTGTCTCTCTCCACGTGGAATACCATCTGGCAACCAGGGGTGACAGTCACGATGGTGATGGTGGTGCAGATGGGTTACCTTTTCTTCATCATAGTCATCACTGACGTCATCATCCTCATCATTTTATGACCGTGGTCATCATCTCTTCCTTTGTGTAGCGCTCAGCCAGGTATAGACTCGGCTGATCTTGACTGCAACCTTCGAAGTTTAGAAGTTACCAGTGAAGGACGCAAGGCTAACAGGGTTTAAGTAACCAGCTTGAGGCTCATTCACAAATCCTGGAACCAGATTTCAAATACAAGTCTTCTAAACCAATATGTCCCAAACCCTTCAAGAGACACAGCCACTGTCCAGCTGTCTCCAACTGTTCCACCCCACAGTGGTCTTACCCCTCTCTCAACTCCTGTTGCGCTCTGTCAGGTGAACAACAAATTAGTCCTAGTGTTTCCATGTGTATTCCTTCCATTTCTCCATGCAGGTCCTAAGTCAGGGTTCTGGGGGGACAGACTGTGAACTATCCTGTTCATAGGGAAGCTCTTTGTGATGTGGATTCTGCCTGCTCTCCCACCTCATCTTCCCCAACCCTGCACCTTCCCAGAGGTGTCAGCCTCACTCATGTCTCCAAGTTCTTGAATGCTCTTCTCTTTCTTTGGACACCATTGTTACCTTTTATATGTGGCAGACCCCTCTTTACCTGGTATGAATTAGCTGGACCATCCATTTCTCTGGAAAGCCCTCCCACTCCTCTCAGACACAGCTGGGGTCTCTCCTTGCCTGCGTACCCTGAGCGCCATATGCGCACCTCAGATGAAGTCCTGTCACAGAAGTTGGTGAATTCTCCAGACTCTGGGCCAAAAGATCTCTGAGGGTATCTCCAGTCTTCAAAGTTCCTAATTCTAAAGAATACAGTCCACATTTCCATATGCTTCATTTGACTTTTGGCTTCTTTCCTCTCCTCTGTAGCTGGATGAAGGCTCACCTCCAGAACCAAAGGGAACATTTGTTGACTATCAGACGACTGTGGTCAAATACTCCAAAGCCATAGCAGTAACAGCTCAGGAAATGGTAAGAAGACAAAGAGCTGCCCTACCCACTGCTGACTGCCCTTTTGTCCACCACACGACTGAGCCTTCAAATCGGGGTCTGTGTGGGAAAGATGACGGCCTACCCCTTGTTTCTAGTTTCTCCTGGACCCCAGCTTCTGTCCTTTAACTGTGGTCTTTCTGGCTGCCTATGGCCTAAAAGCCCCAGTCTGCTGGAATCATCATCTCAAAAAAAAAAAAAGAAGCTGCGAGAAGGATTGAACGATGATTGGGACCTGGGCATGAGGACAGGGAAACAAGGAAGGAGAGAAAATGAGAGTGGAGGAGGAAACGAGAAGGAAGGTGGAGTTAAGGCAAAAGGGAAAACATCCTGTTCACCTCTCAGAGGTGTGATTAGACATTAAAATTACAGTGCAAGAGAAGACATTTTAGGATAAAACAGAGCAGACATTGTCTGATGGAAGCAGATTATAATAACTGGATGATAAGGGTCTTGTCATTTTCCAGGCCAAATCAAACAGTTTGGTTACATGAAATCTTTTCCTGACACGAGAGGGCATGTAACTTTTGCAGGTAGTGTTTTTTGGGTTTTTCTTTTTTTTCTTTTTTGCTGAAATGTAATGCAGTCAAAATTGTATTATATGAATCCTTAGATATAAATGGCATTGAGAGACAGTAAATGATAAATTGATATGTTAAGAAATTTTACCAAAGATGATGGATGGTATCCTCAAAGAATTAATGGGAATATGTAGAAAGTTCCTCCCAACTTTTGAAGGCTCAGATGTCACAGGATAAAATTTGAAAGCAGCCTCTTTGATTCTTGCCACATAAGCTTGAGCTGAGAAATGAAGTGGCCTCCTAACTGGAGGGACCCGCACGGTTCCTGGCTAACCCGGTCCAGGCCTCCCTGGATGGTTTTGTCATGCAGTCATGTGTCCACTAGAGGTTGAGCTTGGACCACAAAGCCTTCCGGGAGGCTTCTGCTCAGTTCATAGAAACTCTGTGATTATGCAGCCTTGTGGTTGTTTAAAAGGGTGGGCTGGGGAAGAGGCAGGACGGGTGGTCATCTCAGTGTACCGTGAAAAGGCTGGAGTTGGGCTCAAGCTGGCCCTTCTCAGGGAGCAAATGGGACGGATTGCAGGTGGAATCAGGCAGCCCTCATGACGCCGAGTCCAGATGAGCAGAGAGCACAGGGCAGCAGAGGGTTAAACCAGAACGTCAGTGGCCTCCTGTTCTTCTGGAATGTCTCTTGAGCTAGGTTCTGGGCTGGGCTGTCTTGATACTTGGTGTCTAGCATCTTAAAGAGGTAAGCTCGAGGTGTATTGCTAGCACCTTGAGTGGGAGAGAACTCCACCTCACCTCGTCAGGGTCCCCCCAGAATCACTGTGCTTCCGTTTGGCAGAGCTCAAATGGAGTAGCTCTTGGAATAGCCTCACTTTCTTGGGGTCCGGCATCCATTCCTTGGGAGCCTACGGCTCAGCCTTAAAAGCCTGTGACATTCACTTTTAAACATGCCTTTGATGGGCTGGACACTCCTGTCCTGGCTACATGGATGTGGAGCCATTAAATGGGTTTTTAAAGTCCTTTAAAATCAAGATCTTAAAATGCCACAAAGAGAGAGGCAGTATTGTCATCCAGAGAGCGAGAACAGCTGGGAAAGGAGGGGATTCTCTCACCAAAAGAGGGCCAGGGACATCTTTCCGGAGACAGGCTGAACTTGCTCTTGTGAGAAGTGAGAGACGTTTTTGCTAGCGGAAGAGGAAGAACTAGACACTCGTGTTTTATCTAAGTAAGATAAATTGAGATAAATATTTCTATAAAACAGAGGGAAAATACTGAACATTTTGATTATAAATAGGTAAAACGTGACCATTGGGGCTTCAGTAAACCCTTAACTAAATTTATGGCTGAAACCTTGTCATTCTTTGGCACGAATTTACCACACAGCTGCATTCTCTATGAATGTCTTCCTCTGAAACATTTGACGTATTCATTACTTCTCATTCATGATTGCCCTACCAGCCCTGCCCCCATGCTCTCTCTTACCCTGTGTGGGACCTGTTCCTGGGCTCCTAGAGACCAGATCAGCTCGTGCCCCCTTGTGGTTTCTTTGGGGAGCTGCCCCGGGTGACCCCACAGGGCAGGGCTGGCCAGAAGCTGCTGCTCTCACCTCCCAGAGGGTGGGCACCGTGAGCCCGGCCTCCCCTCTGCACGGCCTGAGCACTGAGCATGGTGCCCGTCTCGCTAACCCGGGAGGAGCCCTGCGCCGGCTCGGGCCTGTCGTGTGCGATGCAGCATGGGCTTCGCTTGAACTGCCCTCTCCAGCGTCCAGCCCCAAATGCCAGTCCCAGCCTTTCCCCCGCCAGGGGCTGAAAAGTGAACGAACCCCTTTGGCTTCCAGTGGTATTAACACATTGTTCTCATGGTTTTCTCTGTGTGTGTGTGTGTGTGTTTGTGTCTTGCTTGTTTTCTTTTTCCAGATGACTAAGTCGGTTACTAACCCGGAGGAGTTGGGAGGACTGGCTTCACAAATGACCAGTGACTATGGGCACCTGGCTCTCCAGGGCCAGCTGGCAGCAGCTACGGCGGAACCAGAGGAGGTCTGCCATCTAAGGGCCCTATTTTAAGAACCAAACACGTGGGTGCCCGCTCCCAGGGGTTCTCTGTAGCCTGGCTCCACAAGCCCCCAGCCCGATAGCCAGACCAGGATTAGTCTCAACTCCCCCAGATTCAGACCAGTAGCCCAGGCTGTGCTCAAGGCTGACTGCCCTTTCTGAGTGACCTGCTGAGATCTGGGGCCACCTGGGAGGTAGGCTTTCAGACAGAAGGACCTGGCTTACAGTGTCCTGGCAGGTCACCTCGCCCCCCACTCGTCACCTGATGCCCATTGTAACATGCCCAAGTCTGGAATTGCCAAGGGCAGAGCCACACACTGCCACCGTCCTCTTCTCCTAGTCTCTTACTCCCAGTTAGCACGTCCCTCTGAATTTTTATGTTTTTCAAAGGCTCACAGAAGTCTTGGCAGAGCCAAGTATGGGGTTTAGCTCCCCCCGTTTTGAGAAAGAGCTGTGCAGCCTGCCTTCATGAACCACAGTCTTGCCATATATCATTGGTGGCTTTCTGACAACTGGCCCAGACCCCTGGACTTCTCTCGCCACCGCCTCCCTGGCCTCCCTGAACTAGCTTTCCTTAGTGGCCAGCACAGACTTTGCCTCAGAACGCCTGGGCCTGTAACAGTTGGGCAAAACGTTTGGCCTCAAAGGCCATTTTCTAAGAGTTCCATCACTCTACCTCCAAGAAATCGAGTGGTGAATTGAGAAGCACACAGGCTATGCAGGCCCTAGGGTGCCTGGTGGCACTGATGTCAGGGGTAGCACATAGAGGGGGCCTGGGTCCCGAGGAACTACGTGGCTTCTTAGAGAAAGAAAGTGAAGTTTGAAATAAGGAGTAATACAGTGGACCGTAGGGACCGCTAGGAAGATAAAGGTAACTATGTTCCGTGAAATTCAGCCAGCCATTTACTGAGTGCGGACCCTGTTCAAGAAGTTCCTAAATGAACTGGCTGTCAAGGCAAAAGGTTGTGACTAGTCAGTGGTCCCTTCTCCTTGTGATGATATTCATTGTCCCCTGAGTCACTCAGTGCCCCTGTTTGTCCTGGGAGCCAGGTCTAAGCGTGTCTTAACAAAGACTCCCAGAGATGCCACGGAAATGAAGACCCTCTAACGTGTATTGTTAACAGTGCATGTGAAGAGAACGATACCTACACACATATATGTCTGGCATGGGATTACTGAAGTGTCTAACAGCGCCTACACCTTGAGACTTTAGAATGGTTGAATATTTAGGCTGCAGCATGAATAATTCTATCTGTAATGAGCCTGTAACATCATCACCAAGGAAGAGCAGTTATCCACAACCTGCTCCAGGATTCTGTGGATTTGTTTACGTAGGCCCACGTTTTTTTCTTTTTTAAGTGGGCACCCTGTGTGAGTAAGGTCGTTTGACTCGTAATGCATTTGATTAACAAGTAAGTAGTTTTAAATTCATAAACAAGAGTGAGGGAACTTACGTTACGGTAAGGAAACGTTTGGTTGGATGAAAGGAAGAAGTGTTTGCCTTGGGAGGGAATTGAAAATGGAAAGAGAGGCAGAGTGTGAGGGAGGTTTAGATCTCTGTCTCCAGGGACCTTTCAAAATGGAATCTGCAGCCATCTGCCTCAGTTGAAATGCTGGCCAGCCTGAGTTTTCGAGTGAGGACCCGATGGTCTGTGTGCAGGCCTTTCCACATCCAAGTTCTTCCACCAGCCTCCCTGTATGTACAACAAGCAGATTCCTTATTGCAGCCCAGACCACGGAAGCAAAAGACAAAATAACGCAGAAGCAGCCGGGAAAGACGACATACCGCTGAAAGCACAATAGCAGGTTACTTTGGCTCTTGGCTTGGCGTCTGTAGCAGCTGATGTTTTCGTTAAGGTTTTCTCTTTTCACCGTTACATCTTGAGATGTATTTTTACATCCCAGACACAATGGAGTGAAAAGGGGCAGAGAGAATATAAAATTACCAGTGGCTTGCTAAGGAAAATTCTTTGAGTGCATTTGCCAGACAGATGTTTGAGCGAAACCGAGAAGGTAGGAGATCCCTGAAGCAATATAGTTTTCTGTTCCAGATCCTGGAATCATTTGTTTACCCAAGAGGGCCCCACACCACAGTATGTGAAAATATTCATATCCAGAGCACATAAGAAGCTGCTCGTCTTCTCTGTGGCCCTCCCTGTAGGCTGCTGTGCAGCGTCCGCATTTTGATCTTCTCCAGCACTGTGACAATTCCATGACAAGGCGGAGCTCTGCCGTCCGAACATCAGGCCGGAGCTGAGCCACTTATTTTCCAATGGAAATCCAAACTTTTATTAACATCCCTCTGGAAACTTCTTTCTTCGGAAAAGTGAAAACCCTCCAGCAGTTTTGCAATTGAAGATTAGTTTCCTCTTTAAAAAAAAAAAAAAAAAAAGAAGAAAGACATTTAGATCCTGTGAGCCATAACTCCTAAATGTAAATCCTGAGGAAAAGATTTAGTGACTACAGCTTTTCCCTGAGGAAAATTTGCTGTAACCGCTTGTAATACTGGATGTCTTAAAAGCTGACAGGAACATTTGTTACAGCGCTCATGGCGAGAACAACAGCTCGTTTCACCAGTGAGATGGATAACCACTCTAGAATTCTCTAAAACTTTCCACTCTGAGACACACCTTCTGTAGCTGGGAAAGAGACGGACTGCTTCTGTGTACCTACACTTTTTCTCCCCCTTCCATTTTCTCTAAGGAGAAACTATAAAGCCCGCTGCATATTTTCTGGTATTATGTTTTCAGGCTATCCCAGGCAAATTATATTTGATCTGTTTCAAATGTAATTAAGACTTGAGAAAAATCAACAGAAGACTTGAGTACGTTTTGTTTAGTTTTATGCAGTAAGGAAAATGATCAGTATTTCTTAGACTCCTACAATTGAAATTCAATCTGAAACCCCATAAAGGCCAAGCTTTTCATTTCCTTCAAGGCACAAGACCAGGAGACAGCTTTCTCCCTTTTGCTTTTATTTGGGGAAGAAGGGAATTGAGGGTTTTTCTTCAGGCCCGAGGAATGCGTTAATAAGATTGCCAATTAAAACCCCAAGTTTAATGTCTTGGAGCAACATTCCTTTATAATGGACACCGGACTGGTTGTAAGTTGGATCGCCTTTGGGCCAGTCATATTTGCTACAAGAGTAATGTTGCTTTGAGAAGCTTAGCATTTTAATATCCCTTATCTGTTCAGTGGTCTTAACATTGCATTCCCGTTCTGGAATGGCCCTTGGATAGTACAAAATGTTCTGTGCAATTGCCAGCAGAGTATGTGGATTATGTTCCTGTCTCTTGTTTAAGAGCTGCAGCTATCCCTCGTGCCCATGGAAAATAGTAATAACAAAGATGATTGTTATTATATCAGTTCTCTGGACCTCAGTCTCTTCATCTATAAAATGGGGAGGTCTCTCTTATTTTGAAATTCTGTAAATATACCCTCTTCCATTTCCTTCTCCCCTGGCGTCCATACCACATGTCAGACACTGTGCTGGGGATTTATGAATACTGTCCCAGACTGCAGTATGTGACACAGGAATCATTTGTTCCTCCCTGTTTCTCACAAATAAGGAAACCGAGGCTTGGGGAGCTTAATTTGCCCAAGACAACACATTTACAGTGGTTAGAACTGTAGCCACTTTAAACAACTTCTTAGAATAAATGAATTATTCAAGTGAGTAAGTAAGTTAACAAGTAAATCTATGGAAAAGCCAGGATTTGAACCCTTGCTCTTTGCCCTACACCAAGCTGCCACTTTTTACAGCAGTACCCGTCCGCGGGCACTTTCTACTTTCTGCGATGTTTTCCCACGTGCCTTTTCAGGTGGTCTTCTGATCGGGGCAGGGCAGGGCAGGTTCTGTCCCATTTTGCAGATGAAGAAACAAAGGTCTCGTGAGGTTAGTGGACGTGCCCAGAGAGCCCAATGGCCAGGAGGACAGAGCTGGAAGCAGGGTCCAGGGTTCCCCCGCCACACCAGCTGCCCACGTGGGTGAGAGGTTGAGAGCAGTGTGAGAGTGGCAGTGGGCCCTGAGACCCCTTCCCTCCTGTGCATTCAGCCCTCAGCTGTGAGAATGAGCGAGTAAAGCCTATTTCCATTTGCCTCTGATGATACTAAGTCCTTTCTGCGTGCTGTCCAAAAAGGATTGTGCAGCTGAGTAAGGAGAGGTTTGCATGGCCACGCCTCACGGAGGCCTGCAGGCACCTACAAGACAGTTGCTGTGACCCGACACAGACAGAGCCCTGGATTGACTGAGAGCTCCAACGACTTCTGCAATTATTGCCTTATTTCAGTCTCGTCCATTTCCTTTCTGCTGATGGTTTGTCTCGGAGCTCCCTAACTGGAACTTCGTCCCTGACGACCCCTGTGCCCGTCCACTGTCGGATTTACGGGATCCCTCGCTGCAGGCGGAGTCCCTGGGTGGTGCAAGTGATTAATGTACTCAGCTTCTAACCAAAAGTTTGGAGGTTCAAGTCTGCCCAGAGGCAGCTCAGAAGAAAGGCCGGGTGATCTACTTCCAAAAAAATCAGCCGTTGAAGACCCTCACACCTGCGGTCACCTGAGTCAGAACTGACTTGACAGCAGTTGGTTTCTTGCTTTTGCTGCATGCATCATGCCGCCTCCAAGAAAGGGGCTGAGCAGCAGGGCGCTGGTGGGATTTTATAGCATCGCCTCTTGAGAGCGGCTGAGGATGTATTCCTGCCGTTTATCATGTCTATGCGTAGGTCTCAGGTTTGAGGCCGCTGTGAACGGGGTCCCTCCCGCCCCAGGGTGATTTAAGAGGCACGTGCTTGTCCCAGGGCACTCTGCAGACAGGCAGCTCAGACTCCCGTCCGTGCAGGGAGTGGGAGAAACGCGCAGGGAGTGCCCTTCAAGAGCCTGGATATGTCAGCACAAAACTACATACTTCAGAACCCTGACCCAGGGAGGGGCTTTGGAGGTTCTGCACCTGTTTAATTTGAGGCTCATTTTTTAAACATAATTTAACATTTAAAAACTTTTAGGAAAAGCTGCATGGACTCCTGAGTGTGTTCTAAGCCATTGTCACCCATCAGGAGCCACTAGTGCATGAACGTAATGAGGCCTGGTGGTGCAGTGGTTAAGCACTCTGCTGCTAACTGAAAGGTTGGCGGTTCGAACCTACCCAGTGCTCCGTGGGTGGGTGATCTACTCCTATAGAGATTACTGCCTATGGGGCGGATCTACTCAGTCACACTGAGCAGCAGTGACGCGAAAATCAGCTCGACAGCACCTAGCAACACGAGTGCGTTAACTCGGCTCCTGGTGGTGTTTGCGCAGACCCTGGGCTGATGCTGCTTCTCCCACTGTTGCTGTGGTTGTGTAACTGCGAGAAAACGGCTCCCTTTTGCTGTCATTTTCACACACGACAGGGTTTTGTCAACACCATGCGACCAAAGCAAAATACAGCTATAAGCTGGCGACTGAGGAGGCAAGTGGCCTTCATCACGCCCACCTTTAAAACTCTGGTTCACTCGAGCCCGTTGCTGACTTTTTAGTGAGTCACGGCTATACGTTTTACAGGACAACTGTACTGCTGACGTATTACTTCTCCTTTACATGCTGAGGTTCCACGTGAGATTTTAGAAAAGCGCGGTTCTGCTAGAGCACTGTGCTTGGGATAAAAGACCTGGATGCTCATCTAGTTCTGCCTGATACCCGCTCTGTGATCTCGGGTAAATTATATCAATTCTCTGGACCTCAGTCCCTTCATCTGTAAAATGGGGAGGTCTCTTTTATTTTGAAATTCTGTAAATATACCCTCTTCCATTTACTCCTCCCCTGGCGTTCCCAGCGGCCCCTTACCATTTAGAGATCTGTGGTCATCGTCGGCTGCAGAACTCTTGCCTTTGGGTTAGCTCTGATCCTTGAATACCAAAAACAGAAACGATTGCTGTCAAGTCCATTCCGACTCTTGGCAATCATATGTGTGTCAGGGCAGAACAGTGCTGCATAAGGTTTTCAGTGGTTGATTTTTCTGAAGTAGATCACCAGTCCTTTCTTCCGAGGCGCTTCTGTGTAGACTGAAAGCTCCAAACTTTCGGTTAGCAGCTGAGCACATTGGCCGTTTGCACCACTCAGGGACTGACCCTTGAATATTTAAGGTTAAAGTATATGGATTTCAAAGGACTTGAGAGCCCGAATGAGTTTAACATTTTAATGGGGGCATCTCCCGGCTTCAGCTTGACCTTGTTTTTAAACCAACGAACATGCCCAGCAAGCATACATTTAAATGGCATTACCACTGTCTGTGCTGAATGCGAGTATCTTCCCCCCAACACCCCCCCGCCCGCCCTCAGGGGCAGCCTCATTGCTGCTCTAGTCCAGACCTGTTTGCAGAGTTGCCACATTGTACAAGACACAGGTGCCACTCGTGTTGCATTCTACGTGGAGTTGGTCAGCAAGACACCCCTACCTGCTGGAGGAACTTTTGCAGCTCCCAGTGTACAATGGAAGACACTCCAAGAGCAGAAGCTCGACTTCCTGGATCGGGAGAATTTTCTACTAAATATACTTGAAAGTATTTTAAGCCTTATGAAGTTAAAGGGACAACCTTTTCCCTAAAAGCAGCACGTGTTCAATACTAAGGCAGACTGAGCATTTGCAGCCCCCACGCACTCCCCAAAGTCACCCTTCCTTAAACGTGGATTAATGGGGGTGGGATCGGAAGACAGCGTCCAAGTGACCAAAAGCTCCCAAGTTTTATTCACAGCACCTGAGATCTTTTAGTAAATGCTCTTGATAGATGGTGGAAGAATAAGCCACAGTTTCTGGCAATTGTGGATTCTTGAAAATAACACTGGCTCACGATTAATTTGTTTTGTTCTTAGTTGCTTACCTGGGCTGGAGGGCACATTTAATGGGAGCTGTGTTGATCAGACCAAAATGAAAATTGATGTGAAAAGAGGCAGAGGAATGCGAACTCGGGGAGGTGGCAGTGGAATTTCTTCTACCTTGAAGGAGACAGCAGGCAGTGTCTCCAACGCGGAGCTCCTTTGGCTTCTCAGCTGGCAGTGGAACTGAGGAGAGTACCTTATAATCACACCACCAGGGTCGCTTAAAATATGCATGCCTGCTGAGCCTTTGGCTATAAAAAGGCACCTTTTTAGGGAAGCCGCAAACCTGACTCTGTAGAAAGGAGGCCTAGACTTAGGATGGTCCGTCTCAGGGGTGTTCAGGGTGGTAAACTTAACCAATTTTGCAAGAATCTGAACACTTTTAAATACTCTTAATATAAAATCTGTAGATACCGAACGTTTAATAACCCCATAGGGTTGTTGGGAGGGGTAAATGAAACTAAATGTATTCCCTGCCTAAAAGAGGTTCCAACACACAGTAGGAACTCAATACATGCTTGTTGGATGGATAACTGAATGATCCCACAAAGTTCTTCTTATTAACATTCTTACCGGTGGCTCAGGACACAGATAAGCTGTGAACCAGAAAAAGGTGACACAATATTGGGAAGGCATTATGATAGCTTGAGGAGATATTTATTGAATGTAGACTGTGGGCATTTCACAGTCTCTGAAAAGGGAAGCAAAATCAACCAAATTCCATACTTCACTAAACACAGGCTCCCAATCGGAGTGGAATTTTCCTAGCCAGGCTCCCATAGGACGGAGGAGAAATTTTCCACGTAGGGAGCCCTCCATGGCAGGGTTCACGATGCTTCTCCTTCCTCATCCTGGGCTTGTCCCCACAGATTGGATTCCAGATCCGCACACGGGTGCAGGACCTGGGTCACGGCTGCATCTTTCTGGTCCAGAAGGCGGGGGCCCTCCAGGTGTGCCCCACGGACAGCTACACTAAGAGGGAGCTGATCGAGTGTGCCCGCGCTGTCACGGAGAAGGTAAGGAGTAGCCTCAGTTACCCACCTCGCTCTGGGTTAGTCGCTGTGATCAGGGACGTAGGCAGGAAACTAAACCAAAAGTCAGCCGAGTCAGCTGTCTCTTCTTTTTCCCTCACCTCCCAGGGATGGGGTGTACCAGGGAACTGGGGTGATCAGTAGACCCTGAGACATTGAGGGTCTGAGAGTGACTGTCCTGTGAAGGTTGGGCCCCTGGTGGGTGACCTTGAAGAGCTGTCCTGTGGGCAGCCTTTTGACAACTTGTGCCGCCTTGTCTAAGGAGCCCTGGTGGTGCAGTGAGTAAGCACTCAGCTGCTAACCAAAAGGTTGGCAGTTCTAACCCACCAGCCACTCCATAGGAGAAAGATGTGGCAGTCTGCTTCTGTAAAGATTTCAGCCTTGGAAACCCTATGGGGCAGTTCTCCTCTGTCCTATGCAGTCAAAATCAACTGGAGGGCAGTCGGTTCTTGTCTTCCTTCTCAAGGAGACTCCCACGTGGCTGAGGGCCGGGTAAGAAGCGCCTCAAGTTCATATCATACATCCTCTTCATTTGCAGATAGGACAGCGAAGAGGGGGAGGGGCTAAGATACTTAGAGTCGCCCCGCTCATTTGTGGAAGAGCTAGAACTTAGACTAGGTTTTCTAACCCTCAAGGCAGCTGGTTTTAGAGAAAATCACATACTGTAGTGCATAACGCCTTAAGAGCTAAGTTACTTAGCCTGTCCAAGCCTCCATTTCCTCGTCTGTAAAATGGGAACAAAAATATAATCCCTGGCTCACAGGTTGTGAAGATTGAATGTGATGTGTGTAAAAGTGCTTGGCAGAGTGCCAGACGCCTAGTTAAGCATTTAATAAATACCAGCCATTATTCCCTGTAAGCTCATTTCCCCTAGCAGGTTCTCCCTGGTTAACAAGGCCCCAGCCAGACATCCTTTCATTCCCAGGAGCTGTCACATTCACCCGCAGTGCGTTCATTTTTTGCTTTGCTTGTTGCTCTGGATCATTTTTCAGATGAGCTCTTTTGCAGGCTCCTGGGAGCCCGGGCTCTCTGTGGCTTTTCCCCTGCCTTTCTGTTTGCTTCGTAGGACATAGAACTCCATCCTGTTTTAGGAGCTTAGCCATGAGACTTGAGGGCAGGTGGGGGGAGTCCTCAGCTGGAAGCCACTGCTACAGAGGACATTCTGTCCACGGCCCTCACCAAGGAGCCACAGGAGCACCCAGGCCTCCCTGGACTCCACAGAACGGGGAAATAAATCTCTCAGCTCAAGGAAGGCACTTTCCCGACTTTCAAAGCCTTGCCTTGTTATTGAAGTTCCTCTTGCCAAGCGTCTCAAACGCTGAGAATCTGTGCCACTTACTGATGCTCTAACTCCCTGTCCTGCTCAGGAAAACGTTTACACGCTTGTCTGTGGGTGTCTGCGCATAGAGATTGGTACAATGACTCCTGCCCTGAAGTCTTCTTTAAGCCAAACAATAAACCAGAAAACCAAACCCACTCCTGTGCATTCCAACTCATAGAGACCCTACAGGACAGAGTAGAACTGCCCCATAAGGTTTCCAAGGCTGTAACCTTCACAGAAGCAGACTGCCATGCCTTTCTCCCGAGGAGTGGCTGGTAAGTTTGAATTGCTGACCTTTCGGTTAGCAGCTGAGCACTTAACCAAGGCTCCTTAAACCAAACAATAGTTTAGCTTATTAGTGAACAATGTCTGCCTTGAGGAGAGCAGCTAGGGTCACATAGCAATGTGTGTATAAATTTTTGTATGAGAAACTGACTTGAACTGTAAACTTTCACTTAAGGCACAATAAAAAAAAAAAAAAAAAGAATGTCTGCCTTGAGGATTATAGCTCTTTAAAGGACTATCTGTATGGGATCAAATTGACAAGATAGGAAGCTTAGTGAGCAATGAGGTTCTGTTACTGGAGGGGGACCAATTTGGGGAAGGGAGGGTGAGAATGGTTGCAGGGAGTTCAGCCCCTCTGCAGAGTCCCGGGGGAATTGCAGGCAGGGGTGTGGCAGGGTCAGATCTGCATTGTGGGAATGTGTCTCTAGGACCAGAGTGAGGGGACTGGAGAGGGTGGGAGGTGGCAGAAGAAAGTCTCTGACATGGAAAACTCTGGAGTGAACACTTCAGCCAGCTTGCTGGACCCTCGGGGCACTGGGATTATTGCTCAGTGAGGGGGGGTTACATACACAGACCCCCCTGGGGTCCATTAACAGAGATGACAACAGGAGAAAGATAATAAATGGACCTTTCACCGGCACCTAACCCTTTTTCCCTCTTTGTGGCTTCAGAAACATAATGGGAATTGGGTAAATAAAAGCATCTTCCCTCTATTGAAGACATTACCTGCCAAGCAGACATGTTATGTAAATTTTCCCCTACTTAACCTTCCCCATGGAGCCCTGGTGGCGCTGTGATTAAGCATTCAGCTGCTAACCAAAAGGTCGGCAGTTTGAATCCACCAGCTGCTTCTTAGAAACCCTATTGGGCAGTTCTACTCTGTCCTGTAGGGTTGCTGTGAGTCAGAATTGACTCTATGGCAATGGGTTTGGTTTTTTTATAATTTTGATCTCCCCAATAAACCTCACAGGCAAAAATAGCCCCATTTTACAAATGAGGAAACTGAGGCTTAGAGAGGCAAAACAGCTTGCCCAAGACTGAGTCTGATTCTCAACGCATGCTCTTAATCCTTCACGTGCATTGACAGCAGGAGAGAAGATTCAGTCCTATTCCCTTTCTGCCGGCAGGTGTCCTTGGTGCTGTCAGCTCTCCAGGCTGGGAACAAGGGGACCCAGGCATGCATCACAGCCGCCACTGCCGTGTCTGGGATCATCGCTGACCTGGACACCACTATCATGTTTGCAACTGCAGGCACTCTGAACGCAGAAAACAACGAGACGTTTGCAGACCACAGGTATGGGAGCAGAGCCTGCCCGCCAGGTTCCTGGGCAGGGAGTGGGCTGGGCTGCCCAGCCTCTGAACCTCCATGATCGACGTTAGAGAAGCCGTCCGAAGCCAGAGTGCGGCTCTCCATTTTCATTTCAACAAGATGTTCCATTGGGGAAAGTGAACCACGTAATCAAAATAAGCCCCTTTTGCCAACTGTAAACACAGAGTTATGTCTGAGTTTTGCTTTTCACAGCCCCAAGTCCATCCTGTTACAGTGGAGAATTTTTTTTTAAGTTTTCACTCTCCAAGCTCGAGAGAGCTATTCCTCTAACTTGCTTTCTGGGGTTGGGAGTGACAGGAGCAGGCACATTTAGCCCTTACAGGGTTTTGTGGGGAGCTCTGGTGGCACAGTGGTTAAGAGCTCAGCTGCTAACCAAAAGGTCGGCAGTTCGAATCCACCAGCTGCTCCTTGGAAACCCTATGGGGCAGTTCTACTCTGTCCTATAGCGTCCCTATGAGTCAGAATCGACTTGACAGCAACAGGTTTGGTTTTTGGTTTGGATTTTGGGGGTGAGGTTCCAAGCTTGCTATCTTTCCGGGGCTTGCACGGAGCTCATTGGCTCTTCAGTCCCTGCTTGGAAAGCTTGTGCAAGGGCTCTACATGGCTGGTGCCCCCCACCCCACACACACACATCCTCGCCGTGTGTCCAGCACCTTTCTTCCTCTCTCTCTCCCATTCTAGGGCTCCACTAAGGGAGGAGATCCCCAGTGCTCCATCCTCCCCTCCAGAATCCAACACCTTGGGCTCTCATGTCCTGGACAAGGTGCCCCAATCCATGCGTCCTCACAGCTCACTGTCCCTGTGATGTATTTGAAGGGATCATAGGAGCCCCAGAAAAGAGGCTGGCCTTCTATTTAGATATAGGCCTGGAGGAAGAGAGCCAAGTTGGTGGGCCTGCAGCTTTCACTGAGACTGTGTGCTAACTGACTACATGGGTGCTCCGTTGCCTTTCTTCTTCTCTCTCCAATTTTGTGTACACGGAGGATGAAAGCCACATGATGGGGGGAGCACACCGCCTCTCTTCCTCAAAGCCCTTTCACGAAAGCCTCCTGCAGAGGATTCCTTTCCATCCTAACTGCGAGTAATCAAGCTTTGCCCTTTGTATCTCCCCCCTGTCTTCTCCCCTCATCCCCTTTCTCAGGGAGAACATTCTAAAGACAGCCAAAGCCTTGGTTGAAGACACAAAACTGCTGGTATCCGGGGCTGCATCCACCCCAGACAAGCTGGCCCAGGCGGCCCAGTCCTCAGCAGCCACCATCACCCAGCTCGCCGAGGTGGTCAAGCTAGGGGCAGCCAGCCTGGGCTCCGATGACCCTGAGACGCAGGTATGGGGGAGGCCTGGGGAACGGGGCCCCCTCCAATTCCCACAGAGCACTGTACGCCAGCCTCAGAGTCTAAGAGCACAGGAGGAGCTTTGAAGTAAACTGTGTGTGTTTGATGAGCGTGTGGTTTGGAGAACCGGTAGGAAGCCGCTGTTATTGTAGCTGCTGTCGAGTCGGCCCCCAGCTCATGTTTACTCATCCTCAGTGGAAAGAAATGCTGTCCCGTGATTGGTCCATCGTGATCCATAAGGTTTTCATTGGCTGATTTTTGGAAGGAGATCACCAGCCTTTCTTCTAGTCCGTCTTAGTCTGGAAGCTCCTCTGAAACCTGCTCAGCATCATAGCAACATGCAAGCCCCCACTGAAGAACAGGTGGTGGCTGCGCGTGAGGTGCGTGGGCCGGAAACTAAACACACGTCTCCCTCACAGAGAGCAGTTACCCAGGCGAGACAGTGTCATGGACTATGCCGGTAGAGTCGGGATAGAGATAGACCGACAGCTTTGGGAAAAATTCAGAAGGACGCTCGACTGGGCTTGGTGACTGACTGAATGCAGCGGGGGTTTGGAGATGAGGGAGAGGGTGGAGTCAAGGGTGACGCCCACGTTTCAGGCTGGAGCAACGCATGGATGGTGACTCCATGTACCAAGGTGAGGTCCCTGGGGGAAGGGTGGGGAGATGACAGCAAGGTCAGTTTGGGGCATATCGAATTGGAAGTGCCAGGGAGACAAACAAATGGAACTCGTGAGTAGGCATCTGCCTGCTCACTACAGACATGGGGATTCAGCGATTGATGCCATATAGCTAGTGACTGGAAATGCAGGAGAAGACGGGCATGCAGTGGGAGAAGAAGGGGGTTCAGGGCGAAGCCCTGAGAAACCCCAACATTTAGGACCATATTCAGGAGGAAGAGGTGCCCAGGGACACTGAGAGGCAGCAGTTGCTGGTCAGAGGAAAGCCAGGAGGACGTGATGCTAACAGGAGAGACAGCGGAGAAGGCCAGAGAGATGACGGTCTGCGAGTCGGCCGTTGGCCCTAGTACCGTGGAGGCCATTGGTGACCTCAGCAAGGGCTGTTTGTGTGGAGTGGGCGGCAGGCCAGCGAGAATGACAGATGAAGTCAGCCCATGTAGACGACCTACTTGAAAAGTTTGGCTCTGAAGTGGGGTCGAGAGAGGAGCTGGAGAGCTGGAGGAGGGGTCTGAGCTCCTTTAGTCCCCTGCTTCAGATCCAGCAAATGCATTGAAACTATCTGTCTGTTCCTTGGTCTCCCATCTTAGATCGTAAGCTCATCGAGGACAAGCCAAAGAACCAGTTGCCATCAAGTCAGTTCTGACTCATAGTGACCCTGTGTGTTTCAGGGTAGAACAGTGCTCCTTACGGTTTTTATGACTATGATCCCTTGGAAGTGCATCACCAGATCTTTCTTCCGAAGCATGTCTGGGTGGGTTCAAACCACCAACCTTTTTAATAGCCCAGCGCTTAACTGTTGCACCACCCAGGGGACCCCCTCAAGGACAATATGATTTATTAATCTTTAAAACCTGAGCACCCAGTAAATTCCTAGCACGTAGGGGGTACCTAACAAATGTTTGTTCAACTGTTGTTGAACCAACAGCCAGCCACAACCATGAATAAATAGAGTGTAAAACTAAAAAAAAAAAAGCCAAAAAAGAAAAAAACCCTCTGTTTTCACTGCTTAAACTATACGTAACAAACTAGTCTGTTTGGCCCATTTGGCCGAGGCTGGATAGAAACCACCACCCAGTGCCTGGGCGGACAGCTAGTTAACGCAGGGCCAGCATTCGCTCCCATGATGCAATGGCCCTGCCCTTTCTGACATCCTCTAGTGGAGAATAGCTCCATGGGAAACATTCCTCATGTGGCCGTTTTATTCCTTCTGCTGGGTGTCTTTTTGATAACATCAGAATTCAAATTGGCTGCCTTCTGGAATTCTAAGTATTCCCAGAAATCCCTGCCTGTGGTATTGTTTTTATGCCCATTAAGGAAGGAAAAGCTTGAGAACATGGTCCCTGGAATTGGAACCACGTAGCAGAAGCCCTCTCTCCTCGCCTGATTCATTTTTGGGAAAATTGAATGGCCAGAGGGGATTTAAATCTTTGAACACAGAGAAACGTACTGAATTGCTGTAGAGTTTTTGCTCCCTAATGGTCTTGATATCCGGAAGCACCAACTTCCGATGAGATGCTGCTAATTAAAAAAGAAATCCCCACTCACTGATTTGTACATGTAAAAATGGTTGAAATGGCAAATGTTTTGTTATGTATATTCTATCACAATAAAAACAAAAAAAGAAAGAAAAAATACCGTTAGAAAAATGTTCTCACTCATTGGTCAGTTGTTCAGGGATGGGACGACGTATCCTGGATGTTGGTGGCTGACCTCTGCTTGTGGGCCTTGGCCTGCTCTCTGCCCTCCCCACTGTAATCCCAGGAATCAGCACACACAGTCTGTACAGGCCACACTGTCCCAACACAGCCCTGGCCTGACCTGTGGATTCAGAAGGTTGCCTGAGGTTTCTATGCCTGTGCGTGGGAAGGCCCAGGATGGAGCTGGAGGCTAGGGGAGGGCAGGAGCCTGCAAAGTCTTGGTGTTGCTATGCTTGCAGGTGTCTGGGACTTGAGAGTTTCTGATACGTTTTCACATACGTTATCTCGGTTCCTCTTCGCAACAGTGCGGTGAGGTCGACAGGGCTGGTTCTGCTGATCACATCTGTAGAGGAGGAGCTGGAGTTTTAGAGCTTTGTGTGGAGCTTAAGACCATGGCCCTTAGGATCACGCTGACCAGAGTCCAAACCCCACACTCTGTGAGCGTGGACTGAGGACTGTAGTTCCCGCTTGCGCAGGCGGCGTGAGGATTCAATGAGATAACGTGTGAGGGTGCCTGGCACAGCGCCTGGAGCACTGCCCGCGGTACGTGGAGTTGCTGTTATTACAGAAGTTGGAGTCATCACTGTAGCTACTCAGACTTCAATGCAACGCCCAATATCGTGTCATTCCTAAACATAACTGGTCCTTCTGATTCCAAGTCCAGCACACTGAAAAAAGGTCTCTTCTATCAAATTGTCAACGGTCTCCATTAAATTAGAAAAGTGAGCATACCTAATATATCGTGTTCAGTGGGTACACATCTATGTATTCGTTCATTCCACAAGTATTTCCTGAGTGGCTGCTATGTGCCAGGCCCTGTTCTGAGTGTGAAAGAAAACACAGAAGTCCAGGCTGGCCCTCCAGGAGTTCGCGTCCGAGGGGAGGAGACAGGCTGTACATATGTGGGTAACTGACCAAGTAGTTCCAGATACTGGTGCCTGCTGTACGTAAAAAAGGGTGACGTGAAGACGTGTGATTCGCTGTTTGTGGGGGGTGGGCCTAGAGCTAGGGTAGTCAGGAAGGGTTTCTGAGAACGTGACCTTCGACCTGAGACCTGAAAGATAAGAAGCAGCCAGATTCCAGGCAGAAAGAAAAGCAAGAGCAAAGACCCTGAGTCAGGAGTGAGTCAGGGTCATCAACACATAGAAAGAAGACAGTCTGTGTCTGCAACAGTAGAGCGAGGCAGAGAATCCCAGGAATGGAAGCTGGAGAGGCTGGTGGGGCCCCCATGGAGGCTCTGCAGACTGGGGTGTGAGGTCTGGATTTGGTCTCAGTGTTTCTCAGTCACTGGTTCGGGGACATGGGTGAGGGTTGCCTCTCAGGTGTCCGTTAGCTGCCTTCCTCCTTTCATAGGCAGTTTGTCAGGATAGCTGCCAGCTGGGAGGGGTATTTAGACCAGAGTTCCCCACGCTGGCTGAGCTTCCTCCTCACCTGGGAGCTTTTAAAAGTCCAAATGCTGGACCTTCACCCAGGCTCCTGAGTCAGAATCACCAGGGTGGCTCCCCAGGTGCTCCACAGTGCAGCAGGCTTGAGAACCACTGATTTAGAGACCTTCCTCTTGCTTGTCCCCAACTCCCCCAGCCTGCCCGCAGCTGTGTCCTCCTCGGGGTGCGGTCAGCTGGTGACCGCCTGGCCCCTGCTCACCTGGGCTCCACTCTTTCAGGTGGTTTTGATCAACGCCATCAAAGATGTGGCCAAGGCCCTTTCAGATCTCATTGGTGCTACCAAGGGAGCTGCCAGCAAGCCCGCAGATGACCCCTCCATGTACCAGCTCAAGGGGGCCGCCAAGGTAGACTGGGACCCTGGGACGAGCATGCAGGGGGAGCACTGGAATATTGGGGGAATACACATCAGAGCGCCTTTCTCACTTAAAGAAAAGAGACGGTTTTGATCATGGTATTAGATCCAGAACCAAAAGGAGTGGGCATTGGACCACAGACAGAGCACGACCTTTGTCTCTCGCCTTCTCTTCCTACGCAGGTGATGGTGACTAACGTCACCTCCCTCCTCAAGACTGTGAAGGCCGTGGAAGACGAGGCGACCCGAGGCACACGGGCACTGGAGGCCACAATTGAGTACATCAAGCAGGAGCTCACGGTAAGAGCCAGCAGTCGCCTGCGCCCTCCTCGGGCACCAATGTCCAACAAGTAGCCCACCTGAGAGCCCAGCACAGGCTCCTCTGAGACTTCAGTAGGGAGAGGCTTTACTTGGTGCATAGATCTAGGGAGGCCCATTCGCCTGCCTGCTGAGAGCTTGCTGTAATTGAAAGCTTGGATGATTTTTAAATGTCATTGAGAAGGTGTAAATTGAAATGGATCGCTTTGGACTTCTTAGCTTTAATCCCACTAAAATTGCAGCATACAACCAAAGCATTACACGAGATTCTTGGCAGGTGGAAAAGTCAGCACGGCTGCTGCACTTGCCTTGGGTTTAGATCACGTGGACAAGGAGTAACCACACACAGCCCCTCCTGGCTCACCATTGCTTTCCGCGACCGCTAACGCGGTGGCTTTGGGGAAGGCCTGGGTGCCCTTACCTGGGACGCTTCCCTTTAAAATCTGGCTCTCTTCTTTGTGAGGTGTCCAGTCTCGGAGAAAGGGACCTCGCATTCTTGTTTTCAATGTAGAGTGAGGGTGTCCTGGAGGTGCTGCGATACAGATTTTACCTGCTGTTCTTTTGATCCTGTGACGATTGTGGATTCACTTATCCCAATCCCCACAAATAGAAATATGCCAGAATGAATGGTTCCACACAGAATTTTTTTTTAAATAGGACATTTATCACAGATTCAACCCTTTTTTTCTTTTTTTTTTGGCTTGCCTTTGCTGTCACTGTTGTGCAGCTTTGGAACGTCACTTGTGAAGGTTGCACACCCCTGAGGGTCAGCACTAGCAATGAGCAGCTCTGTTGGGTTTTGGTGATGGAGGCTCGGATTCTTTTGTCTTGTCCTTCATAAACCCCGCCTTGGTTGATGTGGTGCTTGGTTCACACTGTAAAGGAGAAACTGCATTTCAGCAGTAGCAACGATACAAATGCAGGTGTCCTTAAACCCTGCTGCCTGGCACTCACCTGGCTGCCCAGGCTGGGGGTCTCCTCCCAAAGGTCTGGACACACGTGGTGACAAGTGTGGTGGGCCTAGCAGTGGCAGTGGAAGAGGAGATTTGACATCTGGAGCTACCCTGGGAAATTGTAGACACGTGGTTGATCTGAGTCTACCGCCGTTAGAGTTGGCCAGACCACGTGTGTATCCACGTGCATGTATGAGGTTTCCGAAGGATTGTGTGCCACAACGTCCGAGTTAGCGTGGAGGGCTGTACACGGGGCCTTCCTTCCACTGTAACGTCCAGGGTGCACCTGGGATTTTTGGTCCTGGGCTGCTACATTTCAGCTGTCCGTTTCCAGGGTGGTGGTATTTGGGTGGTTGGCACAGGGCTAGAATGCTGGGTGGATCCTCCCTTCTGCCTTAGGGAAGGGCTCTGGGAAGCTTTTCCTGCCAAAACAGGGCTGCCTAGGGCTGAGAGCAGAGCACCACAAACTGGGTTGGTGTCCTCATCTGCAGGGATGGAGGTGCATTCAGCACACAGCCAGGGCACCGTCACTCATGTTAGAGAGACAAGACGGGCTTCCACTAGAGACGGCTGACTTGATGGACAGGTAGAGCTGTAAACTGGGATGGCAACTTACCACGGTCAATTTATTTCAGCTTCTCTACAGGGGTGTGGGAGCCTTGGTGGCGCAAGTGGTGAAGCGTTTGACTGCTAACCAAAAGGTCGGCAGTTCAAATCCACCAGCCACTCCTTGGAAACCCTCTGGAGCAGTTCCTCTGTCCTATAGAGTCACTATGAGTCGGAATCGACTCGACAGCAAAGAGTTTGGTTTTGTTTTAAAAGTGTGTGTGTGTATGTGTGTGGTTAAATAATTCACAGTGTCACCGTGGCATGCTTGACACTTAACACCTCTGCACGATTATGCAGTTATAGTTGTAAGACGGACTAAGAATAGAGAGAACTGGATGCTTCATTTCCCCCAGCCCCCACACCCCCTTAGAGAGAGACGGTCCAGAGTGATGCATCCAGGCCAGTCCTGCCCAGAACTGGCATCGGGATTGCGGAGTGTCAGGCAACTGCCAAAGCACCAGCAGAGATGGGGAGAGAGAACTGGGAGGCTACACGGCACCCTTTCCTGCAGTGGAGAGTCTGCAAATACTCGCTGTCAGTTTCTGCAGACAGACGGGTAACCCTGAAGATATGGCTCCATCACCATGTCATTCCCACGAATGCTGAACACGGAAGTCAGAGGCTTAGCAGCGTAGAATCTTGAAAGCAAGAATGATATTACTGTAGTCAAATTAAATTTCTAATTTCCTGCCATTTCACGGTTTCTTCCAGTTGTGGGTTCGGTTTTCAGACACTGAGCTGCAAGCCTGGTCGAAGAGGAATCAATTATTTTCATCTTTTCCTTTTTGATGTTTTTTTTTTTTTTCCCACCTCTTCTATTTCTAACTTCCAGGTGTTCCAGTCAAAGGAGGTACCTGAAAAGACATCATCACCTGAAGAATCGATAAGGATGACGAAAGGCATCACCATGGCAACAGCCAAGGCCGTGGCAGCTGGGAACTCGTGTAGACAGGAGGACGTGATAGCCACCGCCAATCTGAGCCGGAAAGCCGTGTCAGATATGCTGACAGCCTGCAAGGTAGAGGCCTGGCCATTGTTTGGGACAGACAGATAGTTCTCTCTCGTGATTGAGTGGTTTGGTTTAGTCTGGAGAAGGGGTGGGGCTGGGACATGTGGAAGGGACGGACGGCTCCACGCCTTAAACTTGCTAATAAAATGACCTCTGACAGCACAGGCATCAGCCTGTGGGCAATGACCCCCGAGGAGGGTTTTGTGTTTGAGAGGGGTGGTTCTGCCCCGCAGACTTAATTCCCTCACTTCTTCTATTTTCAGTTCTTCCTAAATAGACAGGCAGCCTTCTTGCAGAGAATGTCATATAAGTCAACTCTGAGAGCAGTTGGCAGGGACAGTGGCATTTCATCCCAAGTCCTCCCAATGAAAACCGTGTTCACTCGTCTGCCTGGACCTTTCCCACGTCTGTTAGGTTGGCCATTTTGTGTTAGGAGAGGCGTTGCTATTGTTGTGTGAGGAACTGAGGTCAAGGAACAAAACAGCACTTTGGGGAACTGCTTTTTTACCATCTGTGTCAGACACCTTGGGGAAACTCTTCGTATCCTTGGGTAGGCAGCTAGGGCAGCTGCCCTGAGCCCCGTGCTTGATAAGGGAGCCATGGCGACCTGTGCCATGTAACCTTTATTTTATTTTTTACTAATTAAGAGAGAAAGTGAGCCACAGTACCATGCCCATCCCTCTGCATTCCATTAAGCGTCTCCATCCCAGGACTTCGCCCTTCTCAGGCCAGCCTTGCCCCAGGGACTGAGTCCACTCGGTGATTGATGGATGATCCCCTCCCCACTGTGGCAAGGGGCACAGGGTGGAGATTTACCACAGAAGTTGAAAACCAGCTGTTACCGCTTGGAGTCTGAGGGAATAGAGCTGTTCTCTGTGGTGAAGTGAGTTCTGTGCGAGAAGCTGATGGGAAGTCAAACTCTGATGGCTTCTCAAGGGCTCTTTAGAAGGGGTGGGATGATAAAGGCCTGCACAGACTTCATGCAGCCTTGAAAAGGCATCAGGAAGACTGTGTGGAGATTGAGAGTTATCACTCACATCTTAACATGGCCTTTACTAGTTTAATTTGTCAACCATTTATTCCCCTATACATGTAGCCGTTGAAAACTTGTTGCTGTTGAATCGATTCCAACTCACAGTGACCCTATAGGATGGAGTAGAGCTGCCCCATAGGGTTTCCAAGGAGCGGCTTGTAGATTCAAACTGCCGACCTTTTGGTTAGCAGCTGAGCTCTTAACCACTGTGCCACCAGGGCTCCGTACCGATAGCACTCAGGGAGAAATCATTCCTCAAGGAAGAGTCTCAGTGGGAGAAATTGTGCCTCTAGAACTCTGAGGGTTTTTTATTTCTTTTTTTAATGGAAAGAAAGAGCAATGGATACCCAGAATTGAAGCTTGTGTTCCTTGGATTTTACTGCTGTAGGTAGGCCTTACCCAAACACCACCTGCTCCCAAATGCACCACAGCCCCCTCTTCTGCCCCACCTACTTAATCTTTCAACTTTATCGGTGGTTTTTCTTTCACTGAGTTAGGGTCACATAAAACTGCTTTCTGGCCAGTCAGCTGCCTTTGTAGCCAGCTAGGTTAATGCCAAGAGCAGTGTCCAGTAGCCAGGTAGTCCAGCCTCCACGCCGGTGGGTTACTGTGGGGTGAAAGATAAGCATGGAGGCGGCCATTTGCCAAGGTGTTTATCTAACTAAAAGATTTCCCTTACCCCGCTTTGTTTACCCTGAAAACATGATTGACAGCTCTTGCTGGGGTCCGGCGATCATAACCGTGTGCAGCTGCAGGCTAAGATGAACCACTTTTTCCTCCTTAGATACTTTCTCCACTTGAAGAATAGGAACTTGATACTCTACGCATGTCCTTTTGAGGCAGTGAGGCACAGTTCAAAGGGTCCTTAAAACCTGTTTATGTGGCTGCTTTTGTAAGGATGCACCTGGGAGAGGATTTGACAAGGAAGATTCCGGCATTAGAGAAGAAGTTTGCCCCAAGTCCCAGGGGTAGAGATGGTTTCATGGCAAAATCAGCCTCTTGCAGAGACACAGCAGCTGATGCCATTGCCAGTGGTTAACTCTTGAGGGAAAGAGGAGAGGCAGGCAAGAAAGCCACACAAACGTGGGAGACCCTGGCCCATGGAAGGGATGGCTCTTATGACCCAGATGTATAGGTCCAAAGTCTTCTGAGAGTTGTGAGGGTCTTAGTTTACTCTTCTGTCCACCAGCTAGGGATTGGGTCCCTGGATTTGGGCATGGAAGTATGCTATCAGACATTTTTTTAGTCTTTTATGATTCCATGATCTCACCTGGTTATAAAGTCCTATTACTTAGCTAAAACGTAAATTATTCCCATTTTACAGAGGAGGAAACAAACTCAAGTGCCTTTCTTGAAGCCTCATAGCTAGTTAGTGAAAGAGGATTCCTGACTCCCAGCCAACACCCTTTCTTTCTCCATGATGGAAAAATGATGTGGGGAGAGGTTGGCACAGATTCTGTCCTTAGCGGCAGTCTTTGGTTCGTCCTTGGCTTAAAGGGTCCTCTGTTGAGAGTTTCAAGATCCAGCTATGTAAAGCCTTCCTGTAACTGGAAAATGTTATAGAAGCATATGTTATGGGGCATGAAATGGAGGTACTAGAACATAGAAGAAAAGAGATATTATAGTGATGGCTGCCTTGAATTGGGGTAACAAGTGAAAAAACCCGTTTGTTCCAGATTGTGTGGGCATTCTTATACATATGCTCTTCTTTCTGCCTGGAAGCCCCTTGTGTGTCCAGCCCACATCCTCCCCTTTGAGCTTAAATGGCTCACTGTCCACCTACCCCCCAAATTCTTCCCACCTGTGGTGCAAGGAGAGGCAATCAGGCCCTCTGTTATAGTCCTGGAGCTTTTGGCTCGGATAGTGGGTTGTGATCGTGACCGTGTGCTGAGGATCTGGCCCTCTGTAGACTGAGAGCTCCTTAGGGGCGAGACCTGGCACATATTCCTCTCTGTGTCCCCACCTCAAAGCATAGGACATAGCACCGAGCCAGTAGCCTTCAGTGAGACCAAGCCAGTAGCCTCTTGGTAGAATAGGTGGAGAGGCAAGGCCAGGATTAGCACCGAATGACTAGGTGTGAGTCTTGACGCCATGGTGGTGGTGATGCCATGGCTGTTGTGCCCTTCATTGCAGGAAATCCACCTAAGCCCATTGTGGTAAATGTGTTTCTCCTGGAAGTTAGGTGCTTTCTGAAGCCCATTAGCTTTTCCAGAGGACTCGGTTTATATGAAGCACTGACCAGCTATACTGAAGGCACTTTGCAAGGCACTGGGGTCCTGCAGAGAAGAGGACCAGTTCTGCCCTCAAGGAGCTCCCTCTCAGTCCAGTACAGGATGGTAAATGCTACCATAGTGTGAAGCCAGAGATGCTCTAACTTAGCCCTTAGTGTTGGAGAGGGTTTCCTGGAGCCAGTGACATCTCAGCTTGACCTTGAAGGATGAGTTGGTGGTAACTGGTAAGGAGAGACCTGGTGGTGCAGTGGTTAAAGTCTTCAGCTGCTAACCAAAACATTGGTGGTTCGAACCCACCAGCCATTCTGTGAGAGAAAGATGTGGCAGTCTGCTTCCATAAAGATTTACAGCCTTGGAAACCTTATGGGGCAGTTCTGCTCTGTCTTATAGGGTCGCTATGAGTTGGAATCAACTCAACAGCAGTGGATTTGGTTTTGGGTTTGGTTTGGTGAAGAGACAGGGAGGCTGCAGGAATGGCGTGTGCAAGGGCCTGGCCATGGGAGACAGCACCACATTTATGGTTCTCCTGGGCATGATGGAGGATAGAGAGTGAGGGTGGAGTGAAGGACTAAGGTGGGAAAGTAAGTAGGACCACTTTCGTGAAGGACCACATATGCCAGACAAGGGAGTCTGGACTCTATCCTGAGGCCACAAATATTTGCCATTTTGACATGCTGAATGGAATCCATCCAAACGGATTGCAGTCCAATCAGAGACTGGTACCTACCTGGCAAAATATGGCCCGAATGCCACCATGTTGTACATGCAAGGCACCTCATGGTTTTGCAGGTGCTGTTGTACATATTAGATCATTTGATCCTGGATGGGAAGGCACGATAATCAGCCCAACTTGACAGGTAATGAAACAGAGGCCGAGAAAGGTGAAGTGGCGTGAGCAAGATCACACAGCTATTTGCCGTCAGAACCAGAACTGACCTTCTGATTTCACATCCAGTCTTTCTCTGCTGCCTGTGGCCTCCCAGCCATGATGCTCAAGATGGCTGTGGTTGATGAGTGGCAGTCACTTATGTCCCCGTGTTACAGACGTGAAATGAAAAGGGGAAACGAAACGGAAAGAAAGGCCGTGATAAACGTAGAAATGGAAGGAGCTCGGATTTTTGAGTCTCTCCAACGCAGGCTCTCCTGTTTTCAGGGGAGGCAGTTAAGTAGAGAAGGGCTGGATGTTGTTTGTCCAGGCTCAGTCCCTCTCCATTACGCTATCCCTGGATCAGACCATCCTGACTCTGCAGGACAGAACAGCAGCCAGAGTGCTGTATGTCAGCTTCACAGGCCAAGATGACAGGGGTCACTGCTGAGCCTGAGACTCCTGTTAGGATAGGACCTATTAATAAAGTTAGCAACATTTACATTTCCTTTGGTCTCCTATGTCCCCCACCCCTTTGCAGAAAGGACGTGAGGCAGCTTGCCAGGAGGAGTGTGCATACAGAAAGGTGTACACAGGGAACCAGAGGTTCTGAGTGGTAGATCAAGAAGGGAACGTTTTATGTCAAGAGAAAGGTCTATTTGCCATGTTTGAGCTTCGGGGCTGCCTTTGGGGCTGAGCGATAAGGTGGTGGTGTTGTTAGGTGCCATCAAGTCAATTTCGACTCCTAATGGCCCTATATGACAGAGTAGAACTGCCCCACAGGGTTTTCTTGCCTGTAATCTTTACGGGAGCAGATGACCAGGTCTCTCTCCTGCAGAGCCTCTGAGTGGGTTTGAACTGCCAGCCTTGCAGTTAGCAGCCGAGTGCTTTACCATTGTGCCACCAGGGCTCCTTGAGTGGCAGGGTAGCTAGGGCAAAAACTGAGGTGCAGTAAGTTACATAAGAAGTCCTGGCGACGTAGTGGTGAAGCACTTGGCTGCTAACTGAAAGGTCGACTGTTCAAACCCACCACCCGCTCTACAGGAGAAAGGTGTGGCAGCCTGCTTCTGTAAAGAGACTTATTTTATCCGTATGGGAGGATCACCTAATTCCTCGGGCCAACACAAAGGTTTACCCACACTCGAAGTTTTTGTGGCGTAATGGTTAAGAGCTTGGCTGCTAACCAAAAGATTGGCAGTTTGAATCCACCAGCTGCTCCTCGGAAACCCTATGGGGCAGTTCTGCCCTGTCCTATAGGGTCGCTATGAGTCGGAATCAACTCAACAGCGGTGGGTTTTTATTTAATGTACATTTGTCTCTGGTCTTTCTTTCACGTGCGTACGTTCATGTTAGATACAGTTTTACATCTACTATTTCAATTAACGGGAGCCCTGGTGGTGCAGTGAGTAAGAGCTTGGCTACTAACCAAAAGCTCAGCAGTTCGAATCCACCAGCCACTCCTTGGAAACCCTATGGGGCAGTTCTCTGTCCTACAGGGTCACTATGAGTTGGAATTGACTTGATGGCAATGGGTTTTTATATCAATTAACATATGGTTTTTTCTGTGTTGCTGTGAGTCATTATAACTGACTTTATAATAACTACCAAATGTTCTGGTAACGAATATAATCTTTCCCTTATTAGCAGATATTTTGGTGGTCTATAATTGTTTTTTGTCATAAGCTATAATGCAGTGGACATCTTCGGGCATATCTGTTTTTTCTATCCCCCCCGTTCCCCATTGCTGTCGAGTCCATTCCGACTCATAGCGACCCTATAGGACAGAGTAGAACTGCCCCGTAACACCTCCAAGGAGCGCCTTGTGGATTCGAACTGCCAACCTTTTGGTTAGCAGTGAGCTCTTAACCACTATGCCACTAGGGTTTTCTATTTTTCTATACTTTGGATTATTTCCTTGGGAGAGAGTTTCAGAAGTTTCATTCATGAGACAAGTGGTGTGACATTTTAATTATTGTCAGATTGCTCTTCCAAAGGGTTCTACCAAGTTAAAGAGCCACCAGTAGTGGACAGGAGTGCCTCACTGTCACCTCTCACGACCCTAAAATAAGCGCCTTGCACATAACCTAACGGAGGTGATGCTGAGTCGTGTGGCAGCCTGTCTTTCCACAGTAGCGTCTCGTCAAACCAGACATGCTTCCCTGTGCTGGCAGACACCCAGGGATACAAGGATGACTGAAAGGAGAAAGTGGTTCAGAGCATGGCCCTGGCCTCCTGCTTCCTGCTTCTGAGGCATGTTAGTCCTCAGAGAGCAAAGCCAGGCTCATCAGTGACAGACACTGGCCACTGGAATTAGCTCTGTTCCTTTGGTGGGGATGTCGGCGGAGGGGAGGGGAGCACCCACAGGTGTTCCCACTCATAGGGGGAGGTGCTTGAGTGCAAGAAACATGGGAACCAGTCAATACTTCCCTTCAGCCTTGACCTTTGATCCTAATGTGTATTTTGTATTTGTCCTGGTTTGTGATTTATTTCAGTTTTCTATTTTATGTATTCTTGGAAGTTCCCCCTCCCCCATGTCCAAGTTCTTTTCAGAATAAGGCTGTAAAAAGATGGAAGGCTGAATGGGTAGGGCTGCCAGACGTAGCAAGTAAAAGAACAGGGCATTCCAGACTTATTCTAAAAAATTATTCATTGTTTATCTGCAATTCAGTTTAACTGGGCCTTCTGTGTTTTCTCTGGCAGCCCTGTGAATGGGTATGCTGTCTGAAACGATAGATTATGAATGACTCAAGTTGGCAGGTCACAAGCGTAAGAAAAAAGTGCAGGAGGCTGTGTTTACCGTATGTCCTGGTTTGCTTATCTCGACATGTATAATTGGTCTCAGTTATTTGTGGTGCCTCTGAGGGGACTGGGGAGCTCACTCTCTGAGGTTTCCCAGGAGCCAGTGGGCCCTGCTCATGAGAGTCCTCACCGAAACTGTAGCCTGGTCAGGCCGAGGGCTGAGAACCTAGGCAGAATTAGGCTGTGGACAGGGAGGGGCCTGCAGGACTCTCTTTCCTGGACATTTTAATATGCGTGGAACTTTTCTTACATTTCAAAAAAAGAAGGAAGGAGAAACCAGATAGACTCAGTTGATCTTGTCATCTGACCCCAGGGCACTAAGAAAGTCAAGATGGACTGTGATCAGACAACCTGCTGAGGAGACAGGTGGGAGGTAGCAGGAGAACGTGGAGGTGGGACAGCTCTTCTAGCCAGGGAGCAGGAGAGTTCATCAGAGAAGTCACTGGGGTCAAGGCAGGGTCAGGGAGGGTTCCTTAGAGAGGTCACTGGGGTCAAGGCAGGGTCAGGGAGGGTTCCTTAGAGAGGTCACTGGGGTCAAGGCAGGGTCAGGGAGGGTTCCTTAGAGAGGTCACTGGGGTCAAGGCAGGGTCAGGGAGAGTTCCTCAGAGAGGTCACTGGGGTCAAGGCAGGGTCAGGGAGAGTTCCTCAGAGAGGTCACTTTATTTAAAGCAGGATCAGGGAGGGTTCCTCAGAGAGGTCACTGTATTCAAGGCAGGGTCAGGGAGGGTTCCTCAGAGAGGTCAGTGCTATCAAGGCAGGGTCAGGGAGGGTTCCTCAGAGAGGTCACTGTATTTAAAGCAGGGTCAGGGAGGGTTCCTCAGAGAGATCACTGTATTCAAGGCAGGGTCAGGGAGGGTTCCTCAGAGAGGTCACTGTATTCAAGGCAGGGTCAGGGAGGGTTCCTCAGAGAGTTTACTGTATTCAAGGCAGGGTCAGTTCCAGAATCAAGTCTCCTTTCTCTGGGTGCAGGGCTGCACAACCCTGCCAAGTAGGGACCCCAGCTTGCCACCTTGTGCCCCTCGCCAGCTGGCTGCTCCTATTTTAAGATGTCAACGTTCCTTTCTCTCCCCAGCAAGCGTCCTTCCACCCTGATGTCAGTGAGGAGGTGCGCACCAGAGCCTTGCGGTTCGGGACGGAGTGCACCCTCGGGTACTTGGACCTCCTTGAGCACGTCTTGGTGGTGAGCAGGGGTGTGGGCCAGGGCTGGGGAAGGGTCGTGTACGGGAAGGGCACTGTCATGGCTGATTAGATGCAGACATTCCTTTCCCCAGGAAAACCCCTCTGAGGGCATTGTCCTGGGACCACTTATGAGGCTAGGACTGGGTTGAGCGGAAAATCCTCCCAGATTGCACTGGGCCAGCACATAGAGATAAAAGTGTATTCTGAGGAAGTTAAGTTAGCATCCAGGAAAGCCTAACTCCTCCATTGCACCAAAGAGGCAAGATGAGGGTGGCACATTAGAGGAGGAAGAGTGTGGGCAAAGTGAGGGATGAAACAGGTTGGGTGGTCAGTGCCACCCCTGCAGAAATGTCAGGAGGTCTTGTTGTAAGGACCCCGTTCATCCTGGGAGGTCAGGGAAGGTCCCCCTGAAAGCCACCCCAGCCTCCATGACAAATTAAGGAGAAACATCACCGGTGCAACAGGGGACCTCATAGCCTCACTGGACTTCTTCCAGTCTCTAAATGAGTGGCTTAGATCACATGGAAGACGACCCTCCCCTTCCTGCAGTGACCTTCCCCGAGCCTAGCGTACCCGGCATGGAGCTGGGTTAAGAAGGCTGGAACGAAGACACCTGGAGGGGTGGGAGGGTGGCGTCATGGCTGAGTAGATACCCACGGCTGAGCCATGGCTTGTGCATGCTCCCAGCTCCTGGGGTGACTTCACTCCCACCAGGCCCTAAAGACCGAACCAAGAGACAAACATGGCGGTGCACCTGTCTCTGTGGAGTCCCAGGAGCCGCATTTAGAACGTGGGAGGTCTGGGGCAAGTCATGAGTATTTTCTGGAGTCGGAGACACCCCCAGAGGAGAACTGCCATCGCTGCCCTTGCTTTCCCCAAAACTGAAAGGAAGAGTCCAGAAGGCCACCTGCAGATACACAAAGCATGTACCTAGAAGAGGATGTTCCAGCCTTTCATTTGCTGGCCACTGTCACGTGCTTTCTCTTGCTGAGCCTTCAAACACGTGCTTTCTTATCTGCTGGGCGCTCTCACACATGCTTTCTCCTCTGCTGAGCCTTCTCACACATGCTTTCGCCTCTGCTGGGCGCTCTCACACATGCTTTCTCCTCTGCTGAGCCTTCTCACACATGCTTTCGCCTCTGCTGGGCCCTCTCACACGTGCTTTCTCCTCTGCTGGGCCCTCTCACACGTGCTTTCTCCTCTGCTGGGCCCTCTCACACGTGCTTTCTCCTCTGCTGGGCCCTCTCACACACGCATTTTGTCGTTGCACAACCACGTGAGGCTGGCCGGGCAGGGGAATGATCCGAGACCCAGAGACATTCCGCCTCTGGGTGGTGGTCCCCCAGCTCCTCGGTGACAGACCTGAGGCTGAATCCCAACTCTTGTTATTCCTGGCTCTGTGCTCATTCTAACACTTCACTGTCTTCTTCTTAAAACAAATCCGGAGGAGCCCTGAGACTCTGGCCCTGAGTTGCTCTTCACAGCTTGAGTTGAAACTATCCCCTAAAGTACCTTTAAACTAAGTAACAGTTTAGCCCAAAGAGTAAAGATTGTCACCTTTGAGTGTTGTGTTCTTTTTAAAAAAGAAAACTATCTATGTAAGACCAAATGGCCAACAGCCATTTTAAAGCATAGTTGAGAAGATTGGGAGGCAGGGAATTTAAGTTAATGAGAGTGAAACAGGAGAACAGAGATAACGAGAAGGTTGACGCTACATGAAGAATCTAACCAATGTCACTGATCATTCTGTCTAAAAACTGTGGAATGGGAGTGGGTTTTGCTGTGTATATTTTTTCTAAAAAAAAAAATTACCTTGTGTTGAGCATTTTAGGTATTTGAAGAGATCATTGCTTTATTCTTCACCCAGGTAACTGTGGTCAATGCAGAAGGCTATTATGGGAGAGTAGTCAGTCTGGGATTACTACCACTGGGCTCCAAGGCCTGAACCCTGGTGAATCGAAACCAGTCTATCACACATGGGCCAAGAAAAGAGCTTCTTAGCCAGTCAGCCTTCCCAGGCAAGATCCTCGGGGCCAAGCTAGCTATGTGTGTTGGAATACCATTAAAGCTGCTCAGTCCATGAGCCTGCCTAGGAGGAAATGCAAAGTAGAGAATGAACCCAGCAAGGCTTCCAAAAGGAGTTGTTTCCTTAAGGGAACACTGTGTTCTTATCTACATGGATCCTTGTTATATCTGGAAATTGGAAAGTGTAGTGGAAGACTGTTAGGCGTAGGTTAAAAGACTTGTGTTCAGGTCCTAACTTTGTCACATAAAGAGCCACATGACCACCACTGTCTTATCTAGGCTTCATAAATGGCACCATACTACCTGATTCAAGTGGTGGTGTGGGAGGAGGGTGGTGAGGGGCCAGGAGTAGGAGGGTCCTAAGACCAGCCACAGCTGTGGTTCCAGGCCCCTGCACACGGGGCTACCGGGTTGGTACCTCCAGCTTTGCTCTGGTGAGCCATTTAACAGAAATGTCGCTGCATAGGGGTCCCACACCTGCTTTATCTCCCACAAATCCAGAAACCTGGGCGAAGAATGGGCAGGCAGCCTTTAAGATGTTTAACGGAGTGAAGATGTCCCGTTTCTCCAGTGAAAAGGCAGCTTCTGATGGGGAGGAAGGAAGGACAGGTGTCTGCATGTGTCCTGAGCGGTTTCTCGCAGGAGAGGAGGAAAGTGGAGCCCTAACAGGGTCCAATCGCTGGCCTCATGTAGAGTTTAAACCCTTTCCCACTATCTGGGAAGCAGTTGCTTCATCTGCCAAAGCCCTTCCTCTCCCCTCCTCACCCCTCCTCTCGACGCCTACCTTCTTTTGGTGAGCAAAATAAGATGACATCCGAGGGGGTGGGCAAATGGCTGGCCTCTTCCCCTGAGAGGAGGTTGAGGGACCCAGGGCCTCCGTGAACATTAGAGAAGTTCTAGGAACCATTCCCAGGAGCCCTTGGGTAGTACAAATGGTTAACACACTTGGCTGCTAATGGAAAGGTTGGAGGTTTGAGTCTACCCAGAGGTGCCTCAGAAGAAAGGCCTGGTGATCTACTTCTGAAAAGTCAGCCATTTAAAACTCTATGAGCACAGCTCCACTTTGATACATATGGGGTCACCATGAGTCGAATTGACTTGACAGCAACTGGTTCAGGAACCATTCCCAGTCCACACATCCACAGACCCCAGCTTAACAGCCACTTTGTCACTATGACAGGCCTAAGCCCTAGTGACAATCAGCAACTTTTTGAGGAACAGGAATGAGGGCACTTGCCACAGGAAGACCCAATACCACGTGTAATCTGGGGGGTTTAATCTGCAAGGCGCCTGTGGAGCCCAGAGGTTGGAAGGAGGGGTAAGTACCACTACCTTCTTTACCAGGGCCCGGGCTAGAGCAGACTGCACTTGGCTGCCCAATGGGCTTCTCACAGGCCTGCTCCCGTTTTAGCTGATCTGGGCTCCTCCTCGGATTCACTATAGAAGCAGGACTCTTAAACCTTATGTGTCACAAATTTGAGTGGTTTATGTGTCCGTTCAAAGCCTGCCACCTGTGTTTCTTTTCATCTTTCTATACAATTAAATTATCATAACTGTAGCCTGTAATTATGGTAGAAATATGAACGTCTTATTTCCCCGTGGCTATTTGGAGGTTTATGGTACGAAGGTAACTGGTGCTAAAAGGAAATTGTTAATAGGAAGAGAAGCTAAATGACGTTAGAACTATTTTTATAAAACATACAGAATCTTTTCTGATCTTTTGCAAGAAGAATGATTTTGCACCTTGTTGGTGACGAGCGCTGATGGCTCTGACTTCAAGGTAGAAGGAATGAGAACAGCTTTGGGTGTTTATTCCTTCATTTTGTTGTAGTTCTCTTCAGAGAGCTAAAACACATTCTTCGAAGGATATTTTATAGCAAAAATACAGACGCTTCCAGGGGATTATCATAAACATATGAAAACATGGGTACTAACTGAAAATTGTAGAATACCTGTGACAAATTGCGGGCATTTGTCGTTTACTTGGGCCTGATGCTAAAAGTCAGTTCAGATTTCACATGATCAGGCCTAACTCCTTTCCAGCACAGACTTTCAGAGAGACCCAGGCTAAAACGAGTCTGTGAGCGAGATGTTCCTTCCACACGGAAGGGGCCCAGGAGCCACCAGGCTCGGGAGACCCCCAACCTTGAAATGAATGTTCATTTTCTAAGGGAATTTCTCAAGACAGAATCAGAAAGTGAAAGGCAAGTTGCTTATTTATAGAAACGTCAGGTTTCTGTTGAAATTATCTTTAAAGTAGAAGAAAAGAAGACTAAGATTAGACTTTGGAGGGTAGTGTATTAAAGGAATAAACTAGCGATTTTTACTGACCCTTCCCCATTTTTTGGTCTTTACAAAAAGACCATGTGTGATCAGATGACCACGTAGCTCCATTCTGAAAAGAAAGTCAACCTAAATCAGGACCATGCCAGGAGATCTTCGCGATTTCCTGGTACAGGCAGTCCCCGAGTTAGGAACGAGATGCGTTCCGGTCTTTAAGTTGAATTTGGGCCGTAGGTCGGAACAGGTGCGTAGGGTTCTTACTTAGCCTCACTTTAGTGCAAGAAAAGGCTTCAAGCCTTTTCAGTGATTTAATACCTCCACTTGCAGCGAGTGAAGGCAATGGTGATGCCGAATTGTTTGCACGTAGCGGGTGGTTCAGTTGTTCCAGAGTGAGGGCAAACTCACACAACATTAAAGGGTGAGTGCGAGTCGTCATCGTTCGTTAGCCCGGAGACTGCCTGTGCTCTTGAAAACTCGATCCTTTGTTTTTAACAACTCAAATAAAATTGGTAAGATTCTTGAAATCTGGGAAAAGGCCAGTGAATTGTCCATTTTTTACAAAATTGAGGTTCAGAGAAAGTGTCCAGCTATTTACAGAAATAAATTGAGGTCACTTTCCGGTGCCACGGGGAGGTGAAGGGTTTCAGTGGGCTGCTTTCCTTCAATTCAAGCACATGAAATGTGCTTGTTCAG